GGCATCTGTTTGCAAGGAAGTCGATTCGGGACATATTGGCGCATGTGACCGGACGAAAGTCGGGCGTTCTTACGAATTGCCTTGACTTCCTTCTAAACACACACATTAACCACTCGCAACATCTATTAACTCCTCCCGGGACACTCTTTAGCCCCTGTGCTCGGACCCGTCGTCAACCAACTGACACCCGCCATTGCCACACCCCGACTCGCCATTCCAAATAACTATATATCGCGTTACCAGTTTCGTCGCCGGAGTTGCAAGGACCGGGAACAGTTGCGCCGGGACAGCCTGCTGCTGCTCCTTGCCGTCGCGGCTTCCTGCCTCATTACCACGTTGGCCCTCGACGCCTGGAGCCCGACGATTCGACTGGAAAAATCTGCCAGGTTAGTCAGGGTTATGCCGCCAGCCAATATTATACCCGCTTTGACTTTCACCCTAGTGGCCGGCAGCATGTTCAGCCGCCTTCCGGTTCGACCTGTTACGAACTTCATCCCCCACGCCAACATCAGCAGCAGGTCTCCACCGGGCCATCAGCGCCAGTACGTACACACATGTTCCTGGTAACCGCACCCTCACCAACAATTCCAAGGTCAAAATGGATTTTCGCGAGGGCTTTTGCCGCTTGCAGCTGCTCGGTTCCCACACCGACAGCGAGGTCGACGAAATTTACCGGCAAGTGTTTGCGGAAGACAACCCCAGGGCCCGGCGGGACTTTCAGTGGACAACCCTGGACGAGAAGCCGCTGAGCTGGGACCGCAACGAACTCATCATCGAGCCCGGCGGGTCCCACCAGGAAACTTGCGAATTCATCGTTACTGCCGCCGTGACTTCAGTCCTGGCCTACAGCTACTTCTACAATCCGGCCGCGCCGGTCAAACCCGAAGGCTGGGGCGTCACTACCGCCTATGATATAATGGGTTCCGACGGTTCGGTGGAGGTGTTAAATGCGGTCCAAGAGTAAGTCCGTCAGGACTGGTGGCACCACTTCCCCTAAAGTCCCCGGAGGACTGTCACCCAGGGTGGCGCCGCCCAAGATTAAAGGCAGCGATAAGCCTCCTGGCCCCGTTCCCAAGCTAAATACAAAGGTCTGAGCGCCCCTCTTCCTACATGGAAACAGCTTTTATCGCCATCATCGCCTTTGTCCCCATGCTGGTGATGTTGGTCGTCAATCACGAATGGGGACACTTCTTCACCGCCAAAGCCTTCGGCGTTAAGGTGCTGGAATTCGGCATCGGGTATCCGCCCCGGGCCTTCAGCATCTTCACCGGCCGCACCCGCGTGCTGCTGGACGACAACACCCAGTACATCAACCTGCCCGGCGTTGCCGCCATCCACCCGGGACTGCGGGTCCGCCTGCAAACTGCCGAGGACGCCAGCGGCAACCTGGTAGCCCGCGTCGTCGAGGCCTCCCAGTCCAGCGGACGGCGCCGCCAGTCTTCCCTTCACGACATGGGCAGCGACGAGTACCTCCAGCACGAGGGCACCATCAAGGACATCGACCCGGAGTCCCTGGTCGTAGCCGACATGGTCTATTCCCTGAACTGGCTGCCCCTGGGCGGCTTCGTCCGCCTGGCCGGTGAAAATAACCCGGCTGTACCCCGCAGCCTGGCCGCCAAGGGCCCCGGCCCCCGCGCCATAATCCTGGCCGCCGGTTCCCTGGTGAACGCCGCCTTTCCCCTGTTCGCCTTCACCCTGCTGTTCATGATCCCCCAGAGCGTTACGGTGGGACAAGTGCAGGTCGAGGAAGTAGTTGCCAACTCTCCCGCCATGGCCGCCGGCATCCGACCCGGGGACCTCGTCCTTACCGCCGGAGACAGGACCATCGAGCACGGCTCCGACCTGGTGCGGGCCACCACACTCAACGCCGGCACATCAATGGACTGGTTGGTCGAACGGGAAGGCCGCACCGAAATAGTCCGGGTGACCCCGAGGGTCAACCCGCCCGAGGGACAGGGGGCCACCGGCATCCGCATCGGACTGGTCAACCTGCGCTCCGAGACCCGCTACGAACCACCCTGGACGGCAGTGTGGCTGGGCACGACCAACACCTGGGAGATGTTGACCCTCCTGCGCCAGGAAATATCTTCGTGGATAACCGGTACCCGCGCGCCCCAGTTATCCGGCCCCGTGGGCATTGCCCCAGGTAACCGGCGAGGTAACCCGCGACGGCGGCCTCCGCGGCTGGGTCGTGCTGTCCATCCTCTTCAGCATCAACCTGGCCATCCTCAACCTCCTGCCCATACCCATGCTGGACGGCGGCCGGCTGGTCTTCGTGTTGCTGGAATGGGTCCGGGGCGGCAAGCGCATACCCGCCGACCGCGAGGGCCTGGTTCACCTGATCGGGTTCGTCGTGCTGCTCGGCTTCATCCTCTTCATCACCTACAACGACATCGTCCGCATGGTCCAGGGAGGCAGCCCCCTGGGCGGCTGAGGAAGCTTCCAATAGCAGGCACGAATTTCCACGAATGCCTGACTGGAAACTATCTCAAAAGTCCCTTCCCCCAATCAAGGGGGAAGGTGGCTTTGGGCAAAAAGTCCCGATTCTCGCCGACTTATTGCCCATCTGACATAGTTATTGCCCAGGCCCGGGTTTATGCCCAGGTCCACAGTCGGGGCGCTCACACAGTGGCGTGGAATGAGGGCTGGCGAGAATACAGTGCGAAGGATGGCGGTCCTGTCAAGTAGGGAACTCTGAGTCGGTTTATCAACCAGCCTTACCTCTCAATGTCGATTTGATATTGGAATTGTCTTCGGCCTCTACCACTTCTCCAAATGGTATTCCGGGAAGCTGGGCGACCCGACGTGGTACTTAAAAGGGCCGAACCTAAAGGAGTGGCACCTAAAGGGAATAGAGAGACGATAGCCATACACCATGAAATGGCCGGAGTATTTGCGTTCTGGCCCATTTAGAAAGCCCTGCCGATTGGCGGGGCTTTTCACATGGTAGAATCAGCTTGGTTTCTTGGAGCAAAGCCAGCAAAGGGAGTTCTCCAAATGGCAACTCTGATAGAGTTGAGGCGTCGTTAATGTCGAGGAAACAGAACAAGAATATCGGCCAATCCAGAATAACAGAAGAGGAAAAAATAAAGGGTTCTCAAAAGTGCATTCTCAAAGCCATTCAACTGATAGCGACAATTGACGAGTTACAAAAGAAACAGATACCAATGCGTGGCTGGGTAGATAGCCAATTGGATGAGTTTGTCAGAGAGTCTGAAATAGACCCGTTCTCCCGGCGGGAATTAAGCTTACCTGTTGATGCGATACTGCCGCCTCAATACGGTTTTACTTCTTTGGTGTACGAAACCTTCTTTTCGCAAGCATTAGCGTGGTGGGCCAAAGCGCAATGCACTAATCAGCAAAAGGACAAATATTTACTGAAAAAGATGTATGCAAGTGCATCTTGGTACGACCATTTCATGGGACGCCGCAATAATTTGGGGAGTCATTTCCCAAATAACGAGCTTCAAAAAGTACCCGGAGATAGGTGGTTGATTGCCAGAGGGTATTACCCTTTGGGAAATACTGTTATAACTGCGTTTAAGTATGTGTTGTCGGAATCAATGGCATTGTTAGTGCCATCACTGAACAAAGAAACTACTTTACATATGTCCCTGGGCGCATTTGGTATCAATCAAATTGACATTTCCCAACTGCAAGTGCCTGATTCAACTGACAAAAACATCCTAGCACTGGTTGTAACTGAGCCAACACCTTTGCTGTATCACATAATTCCTATGCCAAACGACAATTGGGTTTGCGAAGCGTGGGATGTAGATGCTTCACATACGATTGTGGAAGGAGGGCAACATTACATCTGGCCAGCCGACATTGTGTGTAATTCGGCACAGGAGGCTTTCAAGGCTTTATCAGCAGAGGTAGCAAAACGACGAACAGTGAGCCAGCAACTCTTGTCGTAACACCTTTAGAATTGTCTTGTCGAGTTGCTGTTTTGGGAATACGAACTCTTAACAAAGCCCCGGTCAACGGCCTTGTTTCTTATCTTCGCTAACTTCTAGTATTTTGGAACAGACTATCAATTTTAGGAACAAATGCGATTTTTGGAGCAAAGCCGCAAAGCCTCTGACCGGGGCTGTTATAGTGTCTCAAGGAAAGGTTTAGTCTTGGTTTATGCTCACTTGAATGCCTTCTCCGGTCAGCGCACGGTGCGCAACAGGGAGTTGCATAAGCACATCCAGTGCATTGTCATATTCCGCATTGCTCCCGCTGATTTGATTCCCTATGTTGGGAATGTTAGTGTTCTGAATTACTCTTTTTGCATTAGCTTCCGCCGCACTCAATTGACGTTTCAAGTCTTCTTCTATTACGCTTTTGAAGCTGTCTTCGCTGGGCTTGCTTACAGTTGGAATCAACACTTGGTCAGGAATAGTTACGTGGATTGTTACTCGCAATATATACCTTCCATAAATTAAGTTTCAAGATGCTACAACCTCAATTATCCCGCCCCGGTCAAGCCCTTTTCGACAAGAGAAGCCCCGCCGATTGGCGGGGCTTTTCACATGGTAGAACCAGCTTTGGACTTTTTCATCAGGCGGGCTACTTATGCATCAAAATCGGCTTTTTCCGCAAAGCCGACCTTCCCCCTTGACGGGGGAAGGGACTTTTGGCACTCCCCCTATCCCCGAAACTTCGGCATCACCCCTTCACTCAACAGCCGCAGCGACTTCGCCGTCTTCTCCGCCGACACCAGCCCCCGGTTGGTCAGCATCAGGTTGCGGATACCGGCGTCCCGCATTTGCTCCAGGTGCTCCGACACCCGCCCCGGGCTGCCCACGATGATCTCAGCCCCGTCCGGGTCCGGCCTGTCGGCATAACCTTCCCGTCCCATGGGCGGCGGCTGCCGGTCCATCGAGTATTGTGGTGGATTCCACGTCGTGCGGTAGTGCTGCATGTTGGCCCAGGCCTCATGCTGGGCCGGCAGAAACTCTTCCATCGCCTGCTCGTCGGTCTCCGCCAGGTGCATCTCCCGCCAAACCCAGATCTGGTCCAGGTTCGCCTCTATCGCCGCCTCGTAAACCCCGCCTCGGCCATGGTGTCCCGGTACAAGCGGATGCTGGCGGCGGTGTGGTTGGTGGACCGCCCCCGCAGCAAAATGGGCCGGCCAATGCGGGCCATGGCCTTGACCGACTCGTCGTCAATGCAGGCCCGCGCCAGTCGGGGATGAGGCTTCTGGTAGGGCCGTGGCCGCGACGACGGGAACGCCACCTGGTAGTGCTTGCCCTTGAACTCCAGGTTGTCCGTCGTCCATGCCCGCACCAATAGCTCCTCGGCCTCTTCCAGTTGCTCTACCCCCAGCGCCGGATTTGACCCAAAGCCAATGTACTCGTAGGCGTTGTAGTTGGAACCCTTGGCCGTCCCCACAATCAGCCGACCCTGGGACAGGTTGTCCAGCAAAGCAGTCTGGATTGCCACCCGCACCGGATTGTGCAGGGGCAACTCCAGGATGCCAAATCCAATATCAACCCTGCTCGTCTTGACGGCCAAAGCCGCGGCGAACACCAGCGGGTCTCCGTAGACGCACTCGCCGGTGAAGTAGTGCTCCGCCAGCCAGATGGCGTCAAACCCCAACTCCTCCACCAACTCCGCTTCCGCCAGGCACTCCTGTATCTCCTGCTCGTCGCGGGAGTCATCAAACTTCATCGGGTAGAAAAAGTGCCCAAAGCGCATGTTGGTTCCTTTACTTTTTGTCCACTAAACCGCACGAATTATCACGAAAAACTTACTAACCCTTTTCTATAATTCGTGACTATTCGTGCGTATTCGTGGATAAATCTCTCTCTTCCAGGCCCGTCTGCCGTCACGCAAACGCCGGCATAACCTCTTCCGCGAACAGCCGAATCGACTTCCGGGCCGCGGCAGGGTCCATGTACCCGAACATGTGGCGCGCACACAAAATATCGTGGCCGATAAGGTCATGCTGCTCTTGCAACTGCCTCGCCACCGTTTCCGGACTGCCCACCAGGGCTATCCCGTTGTCCACCCAGAAGTCAAAGGAGTTGGCCCGCTCCCGGAAGGTGCGGCGCAGCTCAGCCCGCTCCGGCGTCCCCGGGTCGTCGCCTCGCATCCCGCCCGGGCCGTGCCCCAGCCGTGTGGCTCCGATGATATCGCGGCCCTTGCCTGCGGGCACCGCCTCGGGAAAGGCGGCGGTTGCCAGATGAGGTTCTGCCTGCTCCCGTGCCTTGGCGTCAGTCTCGGCAACATGGACGTGGCGGGTCAAAAAAGTCCTGGGCATGGGCGCCGGATGCCCCTCCTGTCGCCACAGGTTGCGCCAGGTCTCGAACTTATCAGCGATAACCGGGTCAACGTCAATGTTCTGGGAGACGTGGAAATTCTTCTTGGCGGCGTACTCAAAGCTGGCCGCGCTATGGCAGCCGAACCAGACCGGCGGATGGGGCTGCTGGAAGGGCTTGGGCGTGGTCAGCACCTCATCAAACTTGAAAAACTCGCCATCGTAGGTAACGCTGTCCTGGGTCCACGCCTGGAGGATGATGTCGATTGCCTCTTCGCTGATGTCCCGCCTCCGGTCGAAGGGCACGTTCCAGCGCAGGAACTCGTGGGTGGTTACTCCGGTCCCTGCCCCAAACTCAATACGCCCCTTGGACAGGTGGTCCAGCATCGCCACGTCTTCGGCAAGCCGGATGGGATGGTGGAAGGGCAACTGGTAGATCATCACCCCAAACCGCAACGCGCTGGTGGCCCGCGCCAGGGCTGTCAAATAGATGTTGGGCGCGCTGAGGAAGCTGACGGCTGAGGTCTGGTGCTCAATGGAAAAGTAGTACTTGTACCCCATCTGCTCGGCTTCCTGCGCCCCCCGGATGTGTTCCTCGTAAACATCGGCGGCAGTAGCGTGGGCCTCCATCTGGGGCTGGTCCAAAACGTCATAAAGTCCAATGTCCAGTTTCGCCATATAAAGACACCTCCAATTTGGGTAAGCGCCGTCAAAGAAACAATATCAAAAGTCCCTTCCCCCTCGACGGGGGAAGGCTGGGATGGGGGTGACGCCTGGCATATTTTTATCGCTGGGCATAGACGATGCTTTCACCGCCACTATTTCAATAGCTTCCAAGTGATGACCCGAAGCAAAGAATCCTGCCAGGAATGTCACCCCTCTCCCTCGGGAAGAGGGGCCGGGGGTGAGGCCGTCCCTTACTTCCAACCCTGGCGCCTACTTCCCTTCCTTGATATGGTCGGCAATCTTCTCCCCGATGGCCAGGGTAGTCACGTTGGTGTTGGCCCGGATGCAGTCCGGCATAATGGAGGCGTCGACAATCCGCAGACCCTCCAGCCCGTACACCTTGCCGTACTGGTTCACCACCGCCATGGGGTCGTCCGCAGTGCCCATCTTGCAGGTGCAGGATATGTGCTGCGACGTGGTAACCTCCCGCCGCATCCACGCAGTCAGCGCCTCGTCCGACTCCATGTCCTCGTCGGTGGGCGAGACCCGCTCCTGGATGATGTCCTTGAAAGCCTCGTCATTGCCGAGATCGACGCAGACGCGCACCGCCTCCCGCAACCGCCTCACGTCGAACTCCTCCTCCAAGTAACGGTAATCCAGGACCGGCTGTTCTGCCGGATCGGCCGATGCCAGGCGAAGCTCACCCGCCCCCACCGCCAGGTAGATGCCGGCGGTCATGCGAAATGCCCAGGGGCACCATGCGACTGCCCCCCAGGTTCACCCGCTCGGTGGCGAAGGACTGCATGGTTATCTTCATATCGTTGCGCAGGTCCGAGTTTTCGGCGGTGTAGCGCAGCGTAAGCTGGGCCCGGGGCGCCAGACCGTCCAGTTCAAATCCTTCCCTGGTCCGCCAGGTAACCCACACTCCGGGATGGTCCCGCAGGTTCTGGCCCACGCCCGGCTTGTTCAGCACCACCGGAATGCCCAGGCTGCTCAGGTGGTCGGCCGGACCAACCCCCGACAGCAGCAGGATCTGCGGCGACCCTATGGCCCCGGCGGACAGGATGATCTCCTCGCCCTCTACAGTAAACGTCTCCCCGCCGCTTTCCAGTTCCACCCCCGTGGCGCGGTTGCCCTCGAAAATCAGGCGGTGTACCAGGCAGTTGGGCCGGATGGTCAGGTTCAGCCGGTGCCGCGCCTGGTCCAGGTATCCCATGGCGGTGCTGATGCGAATGCCGTTGGGGTTGTTCAGAGGAGTCGGCCCCACACCGTAGGTATCCGGGTGGTTGTGGTCGGGGCAGTCGGGATAGCCGGCAGCACGGGCGGCGGTGTAAAACGCCTGCTGCGCCGGCAGCCACGTCTCCCGCTTGAACCGGTGCATCACAATGGGCCCGTCGCCCCCGTGGAAGTCGTCTCCGCCGTAGTCAGTGTCGGTCTCGATGCGCCGGAAGTAGGGCAACAGGTTGGTGAAGTTCCACTCGTTGTTGCCCATGGCGGCCCAGGTGTCGTAGTCCTCGGGCACGCCCCGCAGGAAGACCTGGCCGTTAATGGCGCTGGAACCGCCCGTTACCTTGCCCCGGGGCACCATCATCGGCGGCGCCTCGTCGGTGGCCTTGCCCACGAACTGCCAGTTGTGATCGCTGGTCATCACGTCGGCCTCGGTGGCGTAGCCGAACTTCACCTCTTCCGGCAGGTCCTCAAAGTTGGGATAGTCGGCCCCCGCTTCCAGCAGTAGCACCGACGTATTGGGATCTTCGGTAAGCCGCGTCGCCAGGATAGCCCCCGCCGAACCGGCCCCGATTATCACATAGTCATACTTCATAAGCCCGCCTCCAAAACTGCATTTGGGTTGGATTATGCCGCAACACGGCTAGCGTAATGGGCAGCCTGAGCGGTGTCAATGACGAGTTCAAGAGCGGAAATTTCCATTAGAGTGGATAGCTTCGGCAGAATGCCTAACCTTGAGCCTGATATCACCGCTTGGAAGAGAAAGATGCCAGTTTCCGCAGACCCACCGCGTGAAATTGACAGTCGTTCCTGCGAAGGCAGGGTCTTCAGTTTCGAGGTTAACCGTCGTTCCTGCGAAGGCAGGAACCTCAACGCTTCGGGTCCTGCGTTTCCCACCCTGGCGTAACCGTGGATTGCCCTTACATTACACTTAACTGCCTCTGCCAGCAGCAGGAACTCCGTGAAGCTTGGGCCACCTCATTCATCACCTCATCATTAAGTGCCTATCTTGATACAGGGAGAATAGACTTTGTCCTTGTCTCCCCTCGCAGAAATCTCCTCCTTGAATTCTAATCCACTGACACCAGCCCATAGCCAACCCGTGTGACCGCCCTCTACCATTAATACTAGCTAACCTGGAGTTACACCAGATTCAGGCCATCCCCGCCCTGTTTATGGTCATTCTGAGCGAAGTCGAAGAATCTAAACTCCCCGTCAGCAGCCAACTTTCAGCACCCAAGTCAACACGCACCAGGAAAGCTCCATGCCCTGTAGCAAGCCCGAATCAACAAGCCCATCGACAACCCAGCCCGCCAAAAACCCCCAAAACAGGCCCGAAAATGACCAACCCATCACCCTCTGTCAGCTACAAAATGGGGGAAAATGAGCGGAAATGGAGGGATAAAAAAAGTCACTCCTCTCCCCCAGCGAGAGGGGCCGGGGGTGAGGACGTATCCACTCCGTCAAAGTCCTACTAACGTAGGGTCATCCCTTGTGGTTGCCCTGGACATGGAAGAGGCACCCCCATCGGCAACACTGCCCCAGCTATAAAATGGGGGAAAATGAGCGGAAATGGCAGGAAAAACAAAAAATAATTAGCGAATGTTCGTGCCCCTTCGTGGATAAAAACATCAGGAGGCAGTCCCATGACCTTGTCCCAGATCAGAAACCAGGTTCGCGCCCTGCAGCGCAAATACGCTAAAGAGCTGGCCGTCTACCGACTCCGCCGCATGGCCGAGGAAATCTTCCACGACTGGAACGCCACCGTCGCCGACGGCAAGGAGGCTCCGGAGTCGCATACCATAATCTGGCGGATAGCCCAGCGCGGCTTCCGCCTCTATACCTACACCTCCCTTCATCACTACCTTACAAAGTGTAAAGAAGCAGGCAAAAGCCCCGAACCCCGCCAGATCGTAAGTGTCCTGCTCCCCTGGGCCGAAACCGGCGGCTACCTGGAAGGATTCCGCTGGGACCTGCCCGCCCGAGCCTGATCACCCCTCTCCATCGGGGAAAGGGGAAGGGCGTGAGGGCGTTTCCACCCCGGCGAAGTCTCCCCCACGTAGGGGCAACCCTTGTGGTTGCCCTGAGCGCGGAAGACCCCCCACTGGCAGCACCGCCCCAGCTACAAAATGGGCGGAAATGAGCGGAAATGGAGGGAAAACAAAAAATCACCTCTCTCCCCCAGCGAGAGGGGCCGGGCGTGAGGGCCCTCACTCGTACATTCCCAAGCTCCCAACCAGGGTTTAATCCCTTGTTTATATTTTTAACACAAACTTAATAAACATAGCCTCCTCCCGCTTCCCCCTTGTCTTATAATCCGGACATACACCAAATAGGAAACAGGAGAAGGAAGATTATGAGCGCTGCAAAGACCATCTATGTAGGGATGCATGACGGCGTTTGTGCGGTTACCACCGAGGACGGCGGTTCGTCCTGGCAACAGGGCCCGGTTACTTCTCTCCCTCACGCCGCTGCCAGGCTCGTAGCCAGCCCGGTTAACCCCAAACGCGCCTACCTGGTTGCTTACGAAGCCGGGGTGTACCGCACCGATGACGGGGGTATGTCCTGGTCTCACCTCGATTCCTACCCTTCCGACTACGCCCACAGCGTGCTGGCCCATCCCACCGAGGGCGACACCCTCTACGTCGGCAGCGAACCGGCCACGGTGTACCGCTCCGAAGATGGCGGCCAGACCTGGTCGGAACTGAAGGGCTTCACCCAGGTGCCCGAGTCGGTGGACTGGAGCTTCCATTCACCTACCCGCGACTCCCACGTGCGGGACTTGCGGGTTGCCCCCGATGACCCCAACCGGATGTACGCCGGCATTGAGGTGGGCGGCATGGTCTCTTCCGGCGACGGTGGCCGTAGCTGGCAACAGCTACCCTGGGTTGAACGACGACATTCATTGCGTGGCCCTGAGCGACGACCGGCCTGGCAGCGTCTATGTCGCCACCGCCCAGGCTCCCTATCGCTCCAATGACGGGGGCGCCAACTGGGAGTTGATCAACGACGGTCTCGACCGCCGGTACACGCTGCACATATCTCCGGCCCCCGACGATGCCAGCCTCGTGCTGGTAACCGTCTCCGAGAATGCGCGGCGGCTCAATCCCCTGTTCTACCGCTCCACCGACAGCGGCGACAACTGGCAACTGGTGGATGATGTGGGTCAGGGCACCGAGCCCGAGGACATGGTCGTCGCCTTTGAGTGGGACCCGTCGGAACCCAATCGGGTATATGCCGGTGCCGACGGTGGCAAGCTCTACCAGAGCGCCGACCGGGGTCGCTACCTGGGAAGAACTGTCGGTCCATCTCCCATCCGTGGCGGTGGGGGCATTGGCCGTAGGCCGCAGCTAGCAGAGCGGGCAAAGCGAGTCTGGCGAGTTTCAAGCCGCCTGTGTGGGCCCTTCGGCCAGCGCATCGAGTAGCCGTCGTTGAAGAGCCATCAAGCCTGTGCCCCACAGGCGGGGCCAATCCTGTCATCTCTAAAGAGCAAAATCGCCTCATGCTGAGATTCGCTGTAGAACTGATGCTGTTGTTGTTGGAGGGCCGAAGCGGGAATTCTGTGCGCTTATCCGACCGGTCCCTGCAATCTGCCCTGGCTCTGGCCTGAATATGGTGTCCGGCCCCTGCCAGTGGGGCCGGGAGCCTCTTCTTGCCTCTCCCGCTAATCCCCTGTGCCGCCAGGTGTGAGCGTACTCACATCGGATTGCCAGGTAGTTGACGGCGATAGTGGCTATTGCTAATATCAACTTTAGAAGATCCCCTCTCACGAAAGCCTCCATTTTGGTAAAGGCAGCGTGGCTGAAGGATATGACAACTCCTCTTACAACTCGCACCGAGATAATGTCGATCCTCGAAAATCGTGGCTACCGGGCTACTGCCCCCAGAAGGGTCATCATCGAGCTTCTGGAAGGCAAGAAAGAGGGCTTCACTGCTGAAGAGATCAGCAACGAACTGCCCGGCGTTGGTCGCGCTACCGTGTTCCGCACCGTCAAACTGCTGCTGAACGCGGGTGTCCTGTGCCGCCTCAACATGATGGACGGCGCCCCCAGGTACAGCATCTCCAGCGTTGAGCACCACCACCACACCATCTGCGTCAAGTGCGGCAACGTGGGCGAATTCCGGGCCACCAATATCGAAAACCTGATGCGGGCCCTCAGCGAGCAGATTCCCGGAGAAATTGTAGGCCACCGCTTCGAATTCTACGTCAACTGCGAGACCTGCCTTGCCAACTAGCCGCCCCCTGGAAACCCCGGTCCTCAAGCCTTCCAGGTAGCAACCGCCGGTCCCAACTGCCAGTTGCCCAGTCCGATCGAGATACCCTGTACAAGCTATTGATACCCTCTTTCAATCTCGGTATAATCTTATAATCTGTACTATTGATACATCGGCGCAAATGGACAATCCAGGGTATGGAGTGCAACCGGTGGCAACTGAACCAGGGATAACCGTTACCGACCTGACCGTGGAGCGAGACGGGTTCCGGGCCCTGTACAACGTCAACTTCCATATCGGCCCCAGCAACCTGGTGGGCGTGGTTGGGCCCAACGGCGCCGGCAAGAGCACCCTGTTCGACGCCGTCGCCGGTATCCTCCCCATCGCCCGGGGCTCAGTTGAGTTGCATGGCACCAAGGGCCGCCCCGGGGCGCTGGCCTACGTGCCCCAGCGCGACAATATCAACCTGCGCTTTCCCGCCACCGTCCAGGACGTGGTCATGATGGGCCGTTACTGCCACCTGGGCCTGTTCCGGCACGCCGGCCGCAAGGACCGGGCAATTGTCCGGGCTTGCCTGGAACGCGTTGGTTTGTGGGAGCGCCGGGACGCTCTGATTGAGGAAAACTCCGGCGGCCAGCGCCAGCGGGTCTTCATCGCCCGGGCCCTGGCCCAGGAAGCCAGCATCATCCTGTTGGACGAGGCCTTCAGCGGCGTGGACGTGGGAGCCCAGGAAGGCATCATCGAAGTGCTCCAGTCCCTGCGCGACGAGGGCAAAGTGGTGATGCTGGCCACCCACGACCTGACCAACCTGGCCGAGCGCTTCGACCAGATTATCTGCATCAACCGTCACATTTGCGCCTACGGGCCGCCGGCGGAGGCATTCACTCCGGCGGTGCTGGAGGAGCTTTACGGCTCCCACGGAATGGTCCTGGCCCACACCCATGCCGGCGGCGAAACTCATATCGAGACCCACATGCAGAATGAGTAACTGCAGCTTTGGCCGCTTTCACCTTTCTCTCCTGGGGTTAGCTCATCGCTCCGGTACTGGAAAATGATTGACTACATCGTCGGTCCCTTCCAATACCCTTTCATGCTCCGTGCCCTGATTGTGTCGGTCCTGGTGGGATTCCTGCTGCCGGTGGTTGGCGCCTATATCATCACCCGGGGTCGGGCCTTTATGAGCGATGCCCTGGCTCACTCCCTGGTGGCCCCCGTCGCCGTCGCCGCCCTCCTGGGATTTACGTCCTACATAACGGCCGTCCCCGGGGGCGTCGCCATCGCCCTCCTGATGGGTTACCTCAGCCGCCAGACAGGGCATCAGCGACGACACCTCTATCGGAGTGGTCTTCGCCGCCATGTTCGCCCTGGGCCTGATAATTCTCTCCATCAGCGTGGACATTAACCCCGGGGCAGTCGATCAGTATTGAAGACCTTCTGCTTGGGCAAGTTCTTGCCGTGTCCCAGACCGACGTCCTGGTGACCCTGGTCCTGACCATTGCCGTTGCCGTTGGAGTTTACCTGTTCCACCGGCAACTGGTATTCACCACCTTTGATCCGGTGGGAGCCAGCGTAGTTGGAATCCGAACGGGAATTGTCGAGTATGTGCTCTTGGCCCTGCTGGCCCTGGTCATCGTGAGCGGTTTGCAGGCAGCCGGCATCGTTCTGGTCATGGCCATGCTGGTGATACCATCGGCTACGGCTTACCTGCTGGCCCGCCGGTTTGTGGGCGTTATTCTCGTTGGCGCTGCCATAGGGGTAATCTCGGCCATCGCGGGCTTGTATCTCTCTTACTACGCCAACTGGCCCTCGGGCCCGGCCATGGCGCTGGTGGCCGCCACGGTCTTTGGGGCCGCGACGCTTCACAAGCGCACCTTCACCGTTCGCGCCGACGAGTAGCAATATTCTCGCCCCTGCTTGCCATCAGAGTCCGCTGTTCTCCAAAGGAACCACACCACCAAGGCGCCTGGATCGCTCCTCGGGTGTTATCATTATCGGGCCCCACCTACGAGTAAGACCGGCGCGTAAGACCGGTTGAGTCCCAGCCGAAGTGGGACAAGAAAAGGTGATCGGAAGTAGCCAGGCTTATCAGGCAGGTGCCAGTATGCGGTTAGCAGGTAAGGTTGCCTTTATTAGCGGCGGCGCCCGGGGCATGGGGGCCGCCGAAGTCCGGCTATTTTCCGCCGAAGGGGCCACCGTTGCTTTTGGCGATGTACTCGAGGAGGAAGGCTCAGCCCTGGCGGCAGAGATTGCAGATAAGGGCGGCCAGGCCCTGTTCCTGTCACTGGACGTTACCAGCGCCGCTCAATGGCAGGCGGTTATCGATGCCACGGTCGCCAGATTTGGCAAGCTCGACATCCTGGTTAACAACGCCGGCGTTAGCGGAGCGGGCCTGGTGGAGGATGTTTCCGAAGCAGAGTGGGACCGGGTGATGGATATCAACGCCAAGGGTGTCTTCCTTGGTACAAAGACGGTCCTGCCGGTCCTCCGCCATAACGGGGGAGGCTCCATCATCAACATCTCCTCGCAGCTGGCGCTGGTGGGCGTGGACAACAGCAGTTCCCAGTACATGGCATCCAAGGGCGCGGTGCGCATCTTTACCAAGGCCACCGCCATCCAGTATGCCAAGGACGGCATCAGGGCCAACTCGGTCCACCCCGGGCCAATAGCCACTCCCATGACCGAAGGGGGGCGCACCGACCCTGACCGGTATAACACGACCATCTCCCGAATTCCCCTGGGCAGGTATGGGGAGCCCGATGACGTGGCCTACGGCGTCCTTTTCCTGGCCTCCGACGAGTCGTCCTTCATGACCGGCAGCGAACTGGTAATTGACGGAGGCTGGACCGCCCAGTAGAAATTGAGGCCGCCGCAGTGTGGTTCCCAAAACGGCGGTCATTCCAGGCAGGAATGGCCCAGGCAATCCCAACCCCGTTCGGCATTTGTGATAGGATGTTCTCCGGCACTAGCCTGTCTACCCAACTTCTGGAGGCTGACCCAATGCAAATAGTGCGAGTTTACGCCGGTGACGACGGCGAGTCCTATTTCGAGGACTTGACCCCCGAACAGTTGGCGGAGATGGTTAACCGGGTGGGCGAGGGAGATATCCTGCTCAACAGCCGTCCGGCGCCCCACTTTCTTGACTACCATACCGCTCCCCGCCGTCAATACGTGCTTCACTTGGCCGGCACTGCCGAGTACGAGACCGCCGACGGCTCCGTACGCAGGCTAGGCGCCGGAGATGTGTTGGTGGCCGAAGACCTGACCGGGCATGGCCACATCGCCCGCACCGTTGGCGATGAAGTCCGCTATTCCTTGGGTTTCCCCCTGGCCGAAGGGTAGGAACCAAGAGGGGGAGGCTAGACATGGACAATGACGAATTCATCCAGCGCATCCGCGAAAAGATCGAGCGGCTGACCAAAGCGCAAATAGACCTGCAAATAGACCTGGAGGACCTCAACCACCTGCAAGTTGAGCTGGACCCGGAGGTGCCTCGGGTAACACTGGGCGCGAACATCTACAAGTACTCCGGCTTCGCCCGCATGTGCGTCGAATATGCGGTGGCCTCCATACGGGAGCGGAGAGACATCCAGTCACTGGAGTTTCACATGCTCCTGGCCCGCAACTAAGGGCGCCAGCCTCAACCCCGCCAGCCTCAATGAGCCAGGAACCGCAGGAAACAAAGGAACAACGGGACCCGCAGCCGGAGACAACCGAGTCACCGGCCCCGCCGGAAGAACTCAAGCCTTGGTACTACCAGTATTGGTTCCTCTACCCCATGATAATCTCCTGGCCCCTCTGGTCGGTGTTGATTATCCGTTCCCCCTGGCACAACAGGCTGATCGCCGGCGCTTTGGCCTGGGCCTGGTTGATAATCGGGGGCTACCTTGCCTACGTCAGGCTCAAGATGGGCGGCACCATCGCCCTCAGTACGGTGGCAATCATAGCGCCGGGTCTGATCTTCACCGTAGTTACCCAAATCCACTGGATCGCCAACCGGCGCCGCATCATGGAGGCGGCCCGGAGTTCTTCAACCGTACCTGCCGGCAACCCTCCCACGGCAGAGCAGCCCAACCGTGGCAACCCCCGCCGCACCAACCGGAGAAGAACAAGGAGGCGGCGGTGATTCAAGGTCTGCCACAGCAGCGTTCTAATTGGCAGGAGTCCCTGGACTGTCCTAGAATCGCTAATGGCCCAAGAGTGCCACATCACCAAGTTGAGGCGCCACGAAGTGCATGCAATGCGCCACCCAAATCTCCCCTTTCCCCATGTGTTGAAAAATGGTACTCTGAATCAAATCCTTTGCTCCACAAACGCCTTCCCAGAGTAAAGAAATGAGCAGCCAGCCTTCGGAAAGCCATACCCCCGGGCCCCCTCTGCCCGGCATGTTTGCCAGGTACACCGACCTGGTCAGGCAGGGGCTGACCGCCGCTGTTCCCGACTCTGATCTGTCCGACCTTAACCTGCCCATCCAGTACCACCTGGGCTGGACCGACAAGGACGGCAATCTCGCCGCCAGCGCCGCGTCCCAGGGCAAGGCCCTGCGCCCCACCCTTTGCATGTTCGCCTGCGAGGCCCTGGAAGGCGACCTGACCCAGGCCCTTTCCGCTGCCGCTTCCATAGAACTGGTCCACAACTTTTCCCTGATTCACGACGACATCCAGGACCAGGACCTTGAGCGCCGCCACCAGTCCACCGTGTGGGCCCTTTGGGGGCAGCCCAAGGCGCTGGTTGCCGGCGACGCCCTGCAGAGCGTGGGCGACCTGTCCATGCTGCGCAGCGCACAACTGGGGGTGCCCCCGGAAACGGTAATGCGGGTCTCCCGCATTCTTACCGGGGCCTACCTGGAAATGGTCGAGGGACAGTGCCAGGACCTGGGGTTTGAGTCTCGGACGGCCATCACCACCGACGATTACCTGCACATGATTGCCTGCAAGACGGGCGCCCTGATTCGTTCATCGGTGGAAATAGGGGCGGTATTAGCCACAGATGATCCTGCGGTCGCCAATTCTTTCGCCAAGTTCGGCAGTTACCTGGGGAGGGCATTTCAAATACGGGACGATTACCTGGGCGTGTGGGGCGATGAAAACGCCACCGGCAAGTCCACCGATAACGACATACGGCGCAGGAAGAAGTCTTTCCCTGCCGTCTTTGCCCTTGAGAGAGCCTCCGGCGCCGCCCGTGATGACCTGTTGCGCATCTATTCGCAGGAGGAGTTGGACGATTGCGACGTGGAACGGGTAATGGCCATAATGGACGAACTGGGCGCCTCCCGGTACGCTGAGCAGTTAACCCAGCAAAGCGCCCAGCAGGCCACCCGGGCCCTGGAAAATGTCGAACTCCCCCCGTGGGCCCGAGAAGAGGTTGACCAACTGATCGACTTCCTGGCTAACCGGCAGTTCTAGGGCCGCTCAAATGTTAAGTGCCTCGCGAACTGGAAGAGTCCATGAAACCGCTCATCCTCATCTTAATGAGAGATGTCCCGGATATCTGTCGTCGCGACCCTTTACCCTTAAATCGCCACCAAATTGCATTCCCGACCAGGAAGCCCCGCCTGACTAACCAAACATGACCAACCACCTCACTGACACCCCGCAAACCTGGACCAGAGAGGCCGCCAGCCAGTACTGTGCCAATCTGGCCCGGTCCCATTACGAGAACTTTACCGTCGGCTCCCGGCTGATTCCCCGCGAAAAGCTGCGCCACATTTACGCCATCTACGCCTATTGCCGCACCGTAGATGACCTGGGTGACGAGGCATCCCCCGACGGGCCAGCAGGTGAAGCTTCGGAAATCGATACTGCCTCACTGCTGGTCACCCGATTGGCAACAGGCCAACCAGACCTCGAAAATGACCTAAAGGCTCACAGAATTGCCCTGCTTGACCTGTGGCAAGCCGAACTGGAGTCATGCTATTCGGGAACACCCTCCCACCCGGTAATGGTGGCCCTGCAGGAAACCATCGAGGTATTTGACCTGCCGCCAGAGCCTTTTCTGAAGCTCATCGAAGCCAACAAGTTGGACCAGCGAACCACCTGCTATCCCACCTACCGGGACCTGCTCCACTACTGCGATCACTCGGCCAATCCCGTGGGCCACCTGCTCCTGTACCTTTTTGGCTACCGCGATGCGGAACGCCAGCAGTTGGCCGATGCCACCTGCACCGCCCTGCAGTTGACCAACTTCTGGCAGGATGTGGCCCGAGATTACGAGAAGGGCCGCATTTACCTTCCACTGGAAGACATGGACCGCTTCGGCTATACCACAGAAGAGTTAACACGAGGTGAGTTCACCCCTGCCTTCCGGGATTTGATGGCCTTCGAGGTCGGGCGAGCCATGGACCTCTTTCGCACCGGCACTGCCCTAGTCGCAACGCTTGATGGAGTTGCCAGGCTGGACGTGGCCCTTTTCACCCGGGGAGGCGTGGCCGTGCTTGAAGCAATCCGCAATCAACGATATGATGTTCTAGCAAGCCGTCCCGTCCTTTCGCGAACCCACAAGGCCGGCCTGTTCCTGTCAACGTGGTTAAGCTGGAAACTGGGACTGGGATTTCGGTTGCCGGGCCCTCGCCAAACCTAAGGGTTCGGCTCCGCCTTGCCTGCTACTGGATAACCACAGCCTTCTGCCAACGAGCGAGGTCGCGGTGACTGACTTGGAAGTGGCCTACCAGGAATGCCAGAGAATCACCCGGCGGGAAGCCAGGAATTTCTACTGTGCCTCTGTCCCCCTTCCTCCCAAACGGCGGCAGGCCATCTACGTCGCCTACGCTTTCTGCCGCTATTGCGACGACGCCGTGGACTCGGAAACCTCCACCGAAGAGAAGCTGCAACGGTTGGCCGATCTGCGCCGTATGCTGGAGCAATGCTACCAGGGCCAAGCCGATGAGCCTGTATTTGTGGGGCTTGCCCAAGTAGCACAGGACTACGAAATTCCCCGAGAGTATTTCGAGGAGATCCTGGCGGGGATGGAAGCCGACTTGGTCAAGACCCGTTACCAGGACTTCAGCGAGTTGCGCGAATACTGCTACCAGGTAGCTTCGGCCGTGGGCCTTATCTGTATACATATCTTCGGCTTTGATGACGCCCGGGCGAAGGCTCACGCCATCGACCTGGGCCTGGCAATGCAGCTGACCAACATCTCCCGGGACGTGAAAGAAGACTTGGACTTCGGCCGAATTTACTTGCCCCAGGATGAACTGGCCCAGTTTGGTTATTCTGAGGAAGATCTGATATCCGGACGGTTTGACGACGCCTTCCAGGCCCTGATGCGGTTCCAAGCCGAAAGGGCCCGAGCCTATTTCCGCAGCGGGTTCCAGTTGCTGCCCTACCTCAGCCCCAGGTCCCGCGCTTGTACCGCGGTGCTGGGCCGCATATACAGCAAGCTGCTGGACCGGATTGAGGCCGCCAACTACGACGTATTGAATCACCGGGTCAGCCTCTCAACCGCCGAAAAACTGGGGATAATGGCCCAGTCCTGGGCCGGCAGCATGTTGCCTCGCCAGCGGCCCGACCCCACCTAGGCAAGTCCCGTGACCCGAACTTCTGACGGCCCGGTAACCGATGGCCCGCTATCCGACGGCCCTGCATCTGACGTCGTTATCCTGGGAGGCGGCATCGCAGGCATTGCAGCCGCCCTGGAACTGCTGGATGCCGGTCGCCAGGTAACGCTGGTAGAAGCCCGTAGCTTCCTGGGGGGCCGAGCCTTTTCCTTCATTGACAGGCAAACCGGGCTGTCGCTGGACAATGGGCAGCATGTCATCGTAGGTTGCTGCACCCAGTTCATGGACTTTCTGGACCGTTTAGGCGCCAGGGACCAGTGGTTCTTGCAGGAACATCTGAGGATTCCAGTCCAAAGCCGTGAGGGCAAGGCAGGTACCCTCGGCTCCTCCCGCCTGCCTGCGCCTCTTCACTTGCTTCCCTCCTTTCTGGCTTATCCCCACCTTGGCCCGATGGACAAACTGCGCGTGCTGGGTGGAATGCTGCGGGCCCGATTAACTGACCGCCATCAACCTCAACTGGAACACATCACCTTCTCGATGGCTACGGGATAACCGGCAGTCGGAGCGGGCCATCAACAACCTGTGGAACCTGGTCGTGGAGCCCACCCTCAACGACAATGTTCGGGACGTAAGTGCGGCCATGGGGCTGATGATAGTCCAGGACGGCATGCTGGCCGGCGCCAACAGCGCTAACCTGGGTTACGCCGTTGACGGGCTGCTCCAATCCATTGGGAAGCCCGCCAGGAGGCTGCTGGAGAAAAGGGGAGCTCGTCTGATTCTGGGAGACCCGATTCGCCGGGTCTTGTTTGGTCAGGGTTCGGAGGGATCTGGAACGGCGAACCGGGGCAACCTCCCTTGCGTTGGCCTCGGGGCGACGGCTGTGTGGTGAGACTTTCCTAAGCTCCCTCCCCTTCTCGGCTCTGTTGCAAGTTTTGCCCCCGGAGACTTCAGCAATGGACTTCTTTCACAACATTGGCAAACTGGAATGGTCGCCCATTCTCAACCTGCACATACTCTACGACCGACCGGTAATGGACGAACCCTTCTGCGCCTTTGTGGACAGCCCCCTGCAATGGGTTTTCAACCGGAGCATTATCGCCGGCGAGGGAATGGCGGAGGGAAAACAACTGCTAACCGTTTCGGTCAGTGCGGCCTGGCAATACATCGACCTGCCCCGGGAGGAATTGGCGGAAGCCTTCCTGGCTGAGTTCGCCCAGGTATTCCCACCAGCCGGGCAAGCCGTGGTTGAGCGCATTAGCGTGGTTAAACAGCGTGATGCCACCTTCCGCTGTCTTCCGGGGGCAAATCTGTTGCGCCCCGGGGCTGCCACTCCCATCTCCAACCTGTTCCTTGCCGGGGAGTGGACTAACACAGGCTGGCCTTCTACTATGGAGGGTGCAGTCCGCAGCGGCTACAGCGCCGCCCGGTCCGTTATCCAAAGCCAGGGGTTGGCTGAAAATGCAGCAATCGCCTAAAGTTGTGGCCATCACCGGCGCGTCCGGTTATATCGGCACCCGTCTGCTGATGCAGTTGGAGACGAACCCCAATATAGGCAAGATCGTGGCCTTTGACCGGAAGCCCCTGCCTTACCCCATTCACAACATTTCCTTCTACCATCGGGACATCATACAGTCCAACCAAAGGGAAAACTCCCAGTCAGGCCAACGGAACAGAGAACAGTCGGTCCAACGGGACAATACCCCATCCATTGAATCTATATTGCGCCAGCATCGGGTCGAGACGCTTGTACACCTGGCGTGTCCTTACAGTCATACCACCACCTACCAGGACTGGGCCGCGGTATCCCGGGAAAACCTGGAAGTCTTGGAAGCAACACGCACCTCCTGCCTCGCAGCGGGTGTAAAGCACATCATCTTTGTCAGCTCCCACAGCGTATACGGCTCTTTTGCCGACAACCCGGTGCCGGTAACGGAACTGGTCCCGATACGGAACCGGCCTAATGACTACCTTGGCGACGTCAGCCTGTTTGCCGACATTGCGATGCAGGAATTCAATCTAAAAAGGGAAGAGGAAGAACACTCTCAACTGCCCAAAATTACCATCTTGAGGACCAGTCCTGTCCTGGGATATTCCGATGATCACTTACGCGCGGAGAATATCTTCCCTTACCGTTTCTGGGGGACGGGCGAAAATCCGCCCTTCCAATTTATCCACGAAGTGGACCTGGCGCTTGTTCTGGAGCAGGTGATACAGCGGGGAACCGAGGGTACCTTCAACGTAGCAGGAGAGGGAGTGGTTTTCCTGAGGGAGTTGTCAGAAATAACTCGTCGGAAGCTGACTCAACTGCCCGTGTTCCTGGCATATCCGGCAGCGTGGATGTCATCGCGGCTGTCCAACTCTGTTGACGGCGTCTGGAACGTAAACACCACACGCTACCCGATAATTATGAGCACCGGAAAGATCAAGCAGACGCTGGGCTTTAAATTCGGGTATACATCCCTGGAGGCCCTTAACGCTTTTGTGAATTACAACGGGCTCTAGCAGGCCCCCTTTTGGTGCCAACTCACTGGGGGTCTGCACTCTTTCAAGCCTGGAATGGCGGGGATATTGGCGGCGGCCCGACACCTGACTGGACTTCGATTCTCTTAAACGGGTTGGTGCAACACTGTCAACCTTAGGTGAGAAGGTAATCGGAAAGTTCATTGCACTGAATGGCTACACTCACTCAACTGCCACATTAAACAAACTTACAGGATGTACGAGACTATGATTTCCAACCCGATGAAACGAAAGCTGCTCGCTGGCCAGCCGACCTTCGGTGTCTCGGTAATGTTCCCGTCTCCCCACGTCGTCGACATGATAGGGAGGCTGGGCTTTGACTGGGTACTCATCGACTGCGAGCACGGTTCCATTTCGACGGAGAGTGTCGAAATAATGGTCCTGGCAGCGGAAGCCGCCGGTATAACCCCCATTGCCAGGCCCTCTGTAAATTCCTTTGAGGCTATCGGCCAGCTCATGGACCGGGGCGTAATGGGAGTGCAGGTTCCCCATGTCAACACGGCGGAAGATGCCCGCAGCGCGGTCGCAGCAGTCAAGTACCATCCGCTGGGCGACCGCGGGCTGGCCGCCGGAGTCAGATCGTCCTCCTATGGATTCGGCATGACCATGTCGGAATATGCCGAAGAGTCCAACAGAGAAACCCTGGTCTGTGTCCAACTGGAGGAGGGCGAGGCAGTCGAGAACGTGGAGCAGATCATGGGGGTAGAGGGAGTGGACGTGTTCTTTGTTGGCCCCTCGGACCTTTCTCAGTCCCTTGGATACCCGGGACGCCCGGACGTCCCGGAAGTACGAGAGGCAATGGAGCACGTATTCTCCACAGCGCGGGCCGCTGGGAAAATATCCGGTTCAGCAGGCAATGCGGATGCCACCCGACGATACCTGGAACAGGGTGTTAGCTACCTGTACACCCACCTAACGACCTTGCTATCTTCAGCCAGCAGAACTTTCCTGAACGAAGTGACCAGCTAGCTGCAATCGACTTTGGGGCGGCAGGAGCAAAGAGCTGCATGGAAGCCATTGTTAAGTGGTAGTCAATCAGGGTCTTCCGGCCCTGGTATTGGCTGGAACCGACGGGATGGCTGCCGACGCAAGCCATAGGCAGTAATGGGAGGCGAGGGATTATTGCGAGTCCCGCGCACTTAAAGCGTCGCGAGCTTCCAGCATCATCGGGTGTATCGATTTACCTTGGCTCGTCAAATCGGCAATCTGACGCTTCGGAACTCCTAGGACACCAAACATAAGCACATCGATCTCCACAACCACCGTCCCCACACGCGCCACTCCATTACTTTACTTCCGGTTGGCAGGGCTCGCTTCCGTTTATGGGGATATCGCTGGTCGCCAGATACCACCATTCCCATGGCGTCCACCAAAGCGGGGTTGAAGGTAGTATGCCAGTAGACGGCCTTGTAGATATCATACTCACCGGCGGTGGCCGCCAGTCCGTCCTCAACCCGCAGAATTTCCGCGCCCACCGGCCCGTGCAACAACAGTGGTACTTGTTCTTCGACTGGCCTGATGGGCAGGCAGAATCTGTTGGCCTGCTCGATCAACTCCGGCCCCTTCATGGCCCGAGCCACGTCGTGGGCCAGAATACCCAGGGCTGCCCGTTCCGGATCAACATTGTGGTAAGGCGCCAATTCCCGGGCTACGTCCTGGGCCCGGGCAATGTGGGCCTGCAATCCCCGAGGCAGGATTTCCACCCTCTGGCGAATGCGATTTTCAATGCCAGTTTCGATCCGCGATTGCATGCTAGCCTAACCCATTGCACCCAAGGCCTGGCCGCCCAGCAGATGCATGTGCAGGTGGGCAATCTCCTGGCCGGAGTCGGGGCCCTGGTTCAGGGTAAGGCGGTAACCGCTCAGGGCCACACCCTCCCGTCGGGCCATCTCCTCGGCCACCACGTAAAGGTGGCCCATAATCGGCACCTGCCCCGGCCCGATGTAGGCCAGGGAGTTGAGGTGCATGTTGGGAATAATCAAAAGGTGAACGGCGGCCTTGGGGCTGATGTCCTTCACCACAAAAACCCGGTCGTCCCGATAGATTACCGACTCGTGGGTTGAATTGCGGGCCATTCCGCAAAATATACATTCGCTGGTAGTCATCCTGTCTTCTATCCCCTATGGCGTCGACCACTGGCCGACACTGGCTCTCTTCGTTTACTGGGACAACCTTCTAATGTGCAAATGAATGACAGGCGTGATCCTTACGCCTCAATTTGCTGCATAGCCAATTCCTTGTGGAAATTGACGTCTCCGTAGCTTAGTTCCTGCACCTTGGCCCGGCGGGTGTAAAGCTGGAGGTCGTGCTCCTTGGTGAACCCGATGGCGCCGTGGCACTGGTGGGCAAGATTGCATACTCGCTGGTAGGCGCTGCTGACCCATGCTTTGGCCATGGACACTTCTCGCTCCGCAGATTCTCCTTCCGACACTTTCCACGCAGCGTGGTATGCAATCTGACGGCAACCCTCCACGTCGGTAGCCATGTTGGCGCAATGGTGCTGCACCGCCTGGAAGGTACCCACCGGGCGGCCGAACTGGGTGCGCTGTTTGGCATATTCCACGGTCATTTCCACCACGGCGTCGGCTCCGCCCAGCATTTCCACGCACTTGCCTGCCGTGGCCCGATGCAACGCCCGCTGGATTATGGGCCAGCCCCCGTCCACGTCGCCAAGTACGGCATCAGCAGGAACGATGACGTTATCCAACGCAATCTCGCACTGGCGGTCGGATGATATGGTGCTTAGCTGGGTCACGGTCAACCCCGGAGTGTTGGAGTTGACGAAGAACAGGGTAATGCCTTGAGCCGGGTCGTCAGACTGGGTAGTGCGTGCGGCTATCAGGATAACGTCGGCAACGTGGGCATCTGACACGAAAAGTTTCTGCCCGCTGATACGAAAAGAGTCCCCTTCGCGGGTAGCGGTGGTCTCAATGCCCCAGGGTTCGTAGGTAGCCGATACTTCGGTCAGGGCCAGGGTCATCAGGAGTTGGCCGCTACAAATGCCGGGCAATATGTACTGCTTTTGAACGTCTGTCCCAGCGTCCAGCACCGTAAAGCCGCCCAAGACCACGGTGGAGAAGAAGGGCCCCGGCGTTAGAGAGCGGCCTATTTCTTCCAGCAGAACGGCCAAGTCGAGGAAGCTGCCGCCGGTACCACCGTACTGTTCGGGGAAGGCGATTCCGGTCCAACCCAGACCGGCAATCTGCCGCCAAAGCTCATTGGTATAGCCACGGGAGTCCTCTTCCATCTCCCGCACCAGCGTAAGGGGGCATTCCTGGGATAGAAACTCCCTGGCGCTGTTTTTTAACATCTGCTGAATTTCATTCAGACCCAGATCCATGCCGCACTCCTGCAAGGAGAATTGCCAAAAAAAGGCGCTCAATTGCGTGGCAAGTATAGCGCAAATGCTTTTCAATCGCATTCACAGCCATTCCCGCGCATTGGCGGGCAGTGTTGCCTTACCTCGCCAGTAAATGTACTTGTTCTGCCGTTAAACTAACGACTCCACAAACCCAGACAACCGTTCCAGCGCCGTTTTGATGTTTTCCTGGGAATTGGCGTAGGACAGACGCACGTACCCTTCCCCAAAGGCGCCAAAGGCCGAACCGGACAGCAGGGCCACGCCGGCCTCGTTCAAGGCACGCTCTTCAAACTCGGCGCTGCTGATCCCCGTCTCCTTGATGCTTGGGAAGACGTAGAATGCGCCCTCAGGCTCCGGGCAGTTAATGCCGGGTATGCTGCGCAGCCCGTCGGCAATGAGGCGGCGACGCTGAGCGAACTCGGCAGCCATGGCTTGCACATCATCCTGGGGCCCGTCCAAGGCGGCAATGGCGGCCCGCTGGCTGAAAGAGGCAGCGCATGAAACGCTGTTGACCGCCAGACGCGTGATATGCGGCACTAGTTCCTCGGGCATTATGCCGTAGCCCAGCCGCCAGCCGGTCATAGCATAGCTCTTGGAGAATCCGTCCAGAATGACCGTCTGCTTTGCCATCTCCGGGAAAGCGGCAATGCTGAAGTGTTCTCCGGTGTAAAGGATGTCCTTGTAGATCTCGTCAGCCATCACGTAGAGATTCTTGCCCCGGGCCAGATTGGCGATGGTCTCCAACTCATCCTTGGTCAGTGCAGAGCCGCAGGGGTTTTCAGGAGAGTTGATGATGATCAGGCGGGTGCGGTCGGTGATTTTAGTGGCCAGATCGTTCAGGTCGGGGTGGTAGTCCTTCTCTTCCAGCAACTGCATAGGCACCGGGGTAGCACCGGAAAAGCGGATCATAGACTCGTAAATGGGGAAACCGGGATTGGGGTAAATGACCTCAGCTCCCGGCTCGGCCAGGGCCAGAATGACGTAGAACATGATGGGTTTGGCACCGGGTGTAACAACCACCTGACCCGGGTCAGTGTCGATGCCGCGAACCTCCCGGCTGTTGCGAGCGATAGCTTCCCGAAGCTCGGGCAAGCCCGGGGTTGGTCCATAGTGAGTGTATCCCTCCTGCAGCGCACGTACACCGGCATCGACAATATGCTTGGGCGTGTCAAAGTCGGGCTCGCCTATCTCCAGGTGAATGATGTCCCGTCCCTGGGCCTCGAGGGCCCGCGCCTTCGCCAGAACTTCGAAAGCGGTCTCGGTGCCCAGGTTATACATTCTTTCGGCTAGGGTCATAAGTCCTCCAGGTGTAACTGTGGGTATGTTGTCGCTTAATCCAGAGTTATTAGTCCTTCACGAAAGTCCAGGGTCAGTCTTTGCCCACGGAAAAAGTCGAGGCCCAAGAGGCCGTCAACGCCTACACCCCGCGGCAGACTGTGGCAAATTATAGAAATCCAGTCTCTCGTTTCCCAAAGCTTGAAGCCTTCTAATAGCAAGCTGAGGTGCGCGTACTATTCCGCTGGCTGTCGCAATCCTCACCATTCTGTCGGGAGATTCCAGGTCATAACCTAAATTTGAAGCCAGTCCGCGGTTCAGCATTGTCATGTTAGCGCCCGTATCAAGGGCTAAACGCGCTGCCGCTTCGGTCGAATTTCCACTGATAACTGCTGTAACCACAATGGTTCCGGCCGAGGGGTTGAAACGAAGGGTCATAGCATGATAACCAGATCTTCCGGGACCGAACCAGTATAAATTATTGCCGACCGCTTCGGTTTCAATTCACCCATCTTGCGATACAGTTCGTCTCGGTCGGCACAGTGGTATATGACTTTTCCGCAGATGACTTCCAATTGGGGGTTAAGCTCTGGGTCCGCCACCAGCACTCATTCCGACTCAAAGGTCTCTTCTATCTCTTTCAGCGTCATAACTTCGTTCATCGCTCCCCACCTCCAGGTGGCTTACCCCTGCGCCTGGTTCTGGGTTCTTACCGGCAGGCCAAAAATGTCGATAAACCCGGCGGCGGCGGAATGGTCGAACTGGTCGTCGCGGTCATAGGTGGCCAGGCTGTAGTTGTACAGAGCCTGGGGCGCGCTGCGGCCCACCACGGTGCAGGTCCCCTTGTGGAGCCTCACCCTGACTTCGCCGGTAACGTATCTCTGGGTGCTGGATACGTAGGCATCCATATCCAGCCGGTGGTGGGTAAACCACAGGCCGTTATAGACCATGTCCGCGTACTCCTGGGCAATACGGGCCTTGGTGCGGGCCTGGTCCTTGCTCAAGGTAAGAGTCTCCAGCGCTTTGTGAGCGGCGTGCAGGGAAACCGCAGACGGAGTTTCATATACCTCCCGCGATTTGATGCCCACCAGCCGGTTCTCGACGTGATCAAACCCGGCCTACGCCGTGCTGACCCGCCACCGCGTTCAGGTACCGGATCAAATCCACGCCGTTCATGCTTTCGCCATCCAAGGCTGTGGGAATGCCTTCCTCAAAGTGAATTTCAACGTAGGCCGGCTCATCGGGCGTATTGCTCACCGGCTGCGTCCAGTCGTAGGCATCTTCCGGAGGCTCCAGCCACGGGTCTTCCAATTCTCCCGCCTCGGCGCTGCGCCCCCACAGGTTCTCGTCCACCGAGAAGCGGCTCTTGCTGGCGTTGATGGGCAGGTTGCGAGCCTGGCCGTACTCTATCTCGTCCTCCCGGCTCATACCCCAGTCGCGAATGGGAGCTATGACCTTCAATTCGGGAGCAAGGGCGGCTACCCCCACATCAATGCGGACCTGATCGTTGCCCTTGCCGGTGCAGCCGTGGGCTACGGCATAGGCGCCTTCGGCCCGGGCGGCTTCTACCAGGTAGCGGGCTATGAGCGGACGGCCCAGAGCGGTGGCCAGTGGATACTGTTCCTCGTAGATGGCCCCGGCCCGCAGAGCAGGGAAGAGAAATTCGTTGACCAGGGTTTCCTTGCCATCCACGGTCAGGGCCTTGGCCGCGCCCACCTGCATGGCCCGCTCCTGGATGGCTGCCAGGTCCACCATGCCCAAGTCTATGGTCAGGGTTACAACTTCGGCGCCGTACTGCTCCTTGAGCCAGGGTACTGCCACCGACGTATCCAGCCCACCGCTATAGGCCAGAACGATTTTGTCATTTGCCATTAGTCGTGAATTACCTCCGGTGCTTTTCAGTGCAGGGGTCTAAAGCCGAGCAGAGAAATGATCTGTTCAGCCCGAGCCTGAAAAGGCCCAGTCAGAACCTCTTTTCAATGATCTACTTACACCTAAATCTTCGCCAGGGCTTCTTCCAGCCTGCCCACTGCCTCGTCGATTTCCGCGGGGGTGGTGTTCAGGGGCGGCATGAAGCGGATGGTGTTGGGGCGTGGACCGTTGAGCAGCAAACCAGCCTCGTTACAATTGGCCAAGACCTGCCCGGAGATGGCGTCGTCGAAGTCCATAGCAGCCAGCAATCCCTTGCCGCGCACCTCGGTAACGAAGGAGAATCGATCCTTGACATCGTTCAGCCTTCCCAGCAGGTAAGGTTCCATCTGCTTTACGTGGCCGGGAATGTCGTTCTCGATAAGGAACTTGGTGCCGGCATAGCCCGCAGCCGTGGTTAAAGCGTTGCCTCCGAAAGTGGAACCGTGGTCGCCGGGCACCAGCGCCTGACAATGGGCCTTGGACAAGAAGGCGCCAATGGGCACTCCGTAACCCAGTCCTTTGGCCAGGGTCATAACGTCCGGCTCCACCTCGTACTCCTGGTAACCGAACAGGCTGCCCAGCCGCCCCATTCCTGTCTGCACCTCGTCCAAAATCAGCAAAATCCCCTGGCTGTCGCACCACTGCCGCAGACGCTGCAGGTAGTCGTCGTCTGGAATGATGACGCCCGCCTCACCCTGTACCGGTTCCACCATGACGGCGGCGGTGCGGTCTGATGTGGCATTCATCACCCCTTCCACATCATTGTAGTCCACATGGACAAAGCCCGGCAGCAGGGGAGCGAAGTTTTCCTGGTAGTGGGGTTGCCCGGTGGCGGCGACGGTGGCCTGGGTGCGCCCATGGAAAGAGTTGAAGGCCGTGATAATTTCGTAGGCGCCGTCGCGATGCAGCTTTCCGTAGCGCCGGGCCAGCTTCATTGCCCCCTCTACGGCCTCGGCGCCACTGTTGCCGAAGAAGACCAGGTCCAGGCAGCTATTCTCAACCAGCATCTCGGCAAGCTGCAGCTGCGGCACAGTGTAGAACTGGTTGGACGTCTGCAGAAGCGTACCGGCCTGCTCGGCTATGGCCTGGGTAATGGCCGGATGGCTGTGGCCAAGCTGGTTGACTGCCCAGCCGGCCACGAAGTCCAAATATTCCTTACCGTCGGCGTCCCAGACCCGGGCTCCTTCGCCCCGTACGATTACCACGGGCTGACGGCGGACCGTCTGCGCGTAGTACTTTTTCTCGATGTCAATCCATTCGCTGCTGCTCTTGCCGGTGGTCATGGTGCATTACCTCCCAAGGTGTTGCGTAGATTTCGCAGGGACCTTTCAAGGTCCCCAAGAGCTTCTCCAAGCTCGTCTATTGTTGCCTCAATCTGGTCCAGTTGCTCAAGCTGCTCGGGGCGGATAGTTACCGCCCCTTCGGTTGGCCTGGCCTCGACCCCATAGTCTGCTCCGACCAACTTGGCGACACCCTCCTCCAGGGAGTCTGCCATCACCAGGTTGGTGTTGTCTGCCAGTATAACCTTTTTCAGTTCCGGAAAGTCCAGAAACGTCGACTGCAGATAGAGCGGCTCAACGTACACTATTGTATCAGCAATGGGTACGGCCAAAAGACGTCCCCGAATTATCTCGGAACCGGCCCCTTGCCACAAGGTAAACTGCTGGGAAAAGTCCTGGTCGTTTTCTATGCGCGCCTCCACCTGGCTGGGGCCGTCAATCTGCCGGTCATCGGGCAGGTGATAACTGCGCAACTGGCCGTAATTTGGCGGGTCGTTGCGGGCGAAGAGCAAGCCTACCAGGTTCTTCTTCTGTCCCGCGGGGGAGAAGGGCATCTGGAGGACAAACTCTTCCTTTTCCTCTCCTGGGAGGCGTATCAGCAAGTAGGCGGGCGTTACCTGAACGCCGTCCTTGCCAAGCCGGGTCTCCAGGGGTATATCCCACTGCTCGGCCTGGTTGAAGAAGACCTGCGGGTCGGTAACGTGATAACGCAAATACACCTGCGCCTGTGCCGAAAAGATAGTTACGGGGTAGCGGATGTGGGACTGCAAGTCTTCCGGAAATTCCGACATGGGCTGGAGCAGGGCGGGAAACGCGTCTCGGTACATCATTATCAGCGGGTCTTGAGGATCAACTATGTACAGTGTCACGTCGCCATCATAGGCATCGACTACGGCCTTGACGCTGTTGCGAATGTAGTTGAACCCCTCTTCGCTTACCGTCGCGTAGGGATAGCCGTCGGAAACGGTATAGGCATCCTGGATCCACCACAACTTTCCCTCGTCATCCAGCACCGGGTAGGGATCCTGGTCCAGCTTGAGGAAGGGAGCTGTAGCCTTGACCCTTTCACGGACATTGCGGCGAAACTGGATGCGACTGTCCGGATTTACCTGGTTGCTAAGGACGATGTTAACGTCGCCAAACTCCAAGGTGTAAATCATCCGGCGCAGAAAAGAACTCAGGGGCACTCCGCCGTCGCCGTCGTAGCTCCACCTGGCCGAATCGGGGTTGACCTCGCTCATTCCGCTGCTGACGATGGCAAATTCGATGGGAGATTCTCCATAGTAAACTTCCGGCTGGGCAACGGTTAGCTGGCCGTGTATGGGAATGTCCTGGATGAAGTACTCGGGACGGCCCTCGCCCACCGTAAAACCCGTGGCCGGCGTCATAGACACTCCGTATCCGTGGGTGTACTGGAGCCGCTGGTTGACCCAGTTCCGGGCGTCGACGGGCAGATTTTCCGGATCCAGCTCGCGGGCACCTATCAGAACCTGCTGCAGCCGACCGTCCACCACGTACCGGTCCGAGTCCATATTCAGAAAGTTATAGTACAGCTCCATGAACTGAAGCTGGTTGTAGGCATCCTGCAGCGGCGCGGCATCCCAAAGCCGGATGCCATCCAGGGTGCTCCGGTAAGCGCGGGCCGCTTCCTGAGAAAGAGACTCAGCCACCGGAAAAATGCTTTCTTCCACTTCATGAATCCCGTATGCGGCCCTGGTGGCTTCGATGTTCCGGCGAATGTAGACCTCTTCCCGGGCAAACTCATCGGGATTCACCTGGAAACGCTGGAACAGCAAGGGATACGCTATGCCGGCCACCAGGAACATAATCAGCCAGAGGGTGAAAGAACCGGCGATCAAACGTAGCCCGGCAAAGTATATGCTTGCGCCAAACCCCACCGCGGCCAGCAGACCGATACCGGCCAGGAACCAGTACACCGGTATGCGGGCATGCACGTCGGTGTAGGTGGCCCCGGTTACCACTCCCGCTTCGGACAAGGTAAGCTCGTAGATGTTCAGGATGTGATGGAAGGCCAGGATCAACATCAGGAATATTCCCAGCACCGCCAGGTGCCGCAGGGTCTTGGGCGCCAGGACTAGGCTCAGCCCCCGCAGCAGGTAGATAGCCGCATACAGCGACACGGATATGACTATGATGGTGATGAACAATCCCAGGAACCACACCTGGGCTGCCCGCAGGACTTGCAGGTTCACGACGTAGAAGGTCACATCCCGCCCGAACTGGGGGTCTGAGATGCCAAAGGGGACCTGATGCAGCAGCATGACCACCAGTTCCCAGTGGTCGGCGGCCTGGGATCCGAAGAGCAGGCCGGTGATGAGCAGAGCCACATATATCAGCAGCCGCAACAACGCCAGGGCCAGCCTGAGGAAGTCAATGGGCAGGGGCCTGGTTATGGGCCCCAGAGCCAGCGGGAGAACCATTGATATATTCAGCGCCAGCAGCGTTGCTGCCAGCAGGCCACCCGCCAGGAAGAGGGAGGTCTTGATGATTGTCAAGTAGAGAAAGACGTCGCTGTAGCCGAGCTGGTCGTACCAGAGGAAGTCGGCATAGACGCCGAGCAGGTGCCACACGACCGCGATCACCGAGCCGATTATGACCAACAGCGTCGACCAGCGCCGAATCAGAGCCAGACGGGCAGCAGAAATGCCCGGCAGTGGAGGGCCGGGCACCGGGTCGGCATCATTAGTTAGATCATAGCTCACGGGTCGCTGCCCTGGACAATGTTAGCGGATTTCCGGCAAGTGGAGTTGTCCTGTTGTGTACGATGAATCTGCCTCGAGCCTTGTGGCATGTTTCAGCGCCGACCGTATTACTCAGAGCCCGCCAAAGGATCTGGAATCCGGCATTGCGAAACAGATAGAGGGAACCAGTCCATCTGATGGGCTTTGGGCCGAGCTTCTTTGCATTCCAGAGCTGGATTACCCCAGAGGCCAGCGAAAACTCTAGGCAGTAATGCGGGTGCCGCCGCCTTCCCCTTCCAGGCACTTCAGCAGAACACCGGGTTCCCGCCCATCCACAATGTCCGTTACCGGGGCACTTTCCAGGGCCCGAACACAGGCTTCCAACTTGGGAATCATCCCGCCGCGCACAATATCGGAATTCAGCAGCAGGCTGGCCCGGCGACGGTTTAGGCGGGCCATGACCCGACCGTTGCCGTCCATCACCCCGGGCACGTCGGTCAGGAAAATCAGATGCTCCGACCCCAATGCATGGGCCAACTCCCCGGCCACCGTGTCGCCGTTGATGTTCAGGGCGCCGCCAGAATGCTCGGAGCCGTCCCGTTCCTGCATGGCCAGGGGCGCCAGCATCGGTATGTAGCCGCCATCCAGTATCGCGTTGATGGGTTCCGGATTGACCCTGGTAATTTCGCCCACGAATCCCAGGTCAGGGTTGGCGACCCGGGCCTCCAGGATGCCGGCGTCGATGCCGCTCATTCCCAGCACCCGGGCGCCCAGGCCGTGCATGATGCCGACCAGTTCCTTATTGACCAGGCCGGTAAGGACGGCCACTACGATGTCCAGGCTTTCTGCGTCGGTTATCCTCAAGCCATTAACGAAGCGGGGCGCAATGCCCTGGCGCTGCATCCAATTAGATATCACGGGGCCGCCGCCATGGACTACCACCACGTCGCGGCCCTGCTGTTGCAACGCCACCAAGTCCTTCAGGCTGGTGTCGTTGTTGCCCAGGGTGCTGCCCCCGATTTTTACGACAATGGGAGGAACTGCTTGCCGGTCGGGCACGCCAACCTCCGGTTAAGAATAGAGTTAACTGCCGAAAAAGTTAAGAATCCCCCCAACCTTTGCTGCCTGCGACGCTGGGAGGATTTTAGTTCAACCTGTTGGCGCTATGTTTCGGACTCTTTGACGCCGGCCTTTCCCCTGCGGGGTCGCCGGTACTCCAGATTAGGTCGTGTAGGCGCTGTTGATGATGACGTATTCCTCGGTCAGGTCGCAGCCCCAGGCAGTGGCTTCGCCGTCTCCCAGGTGAAGTTGCAGCCGGAAAGTTACCTCGGGCCGCTTCATCAACGCCACCACCGCGTCCCGGTGGAAAGGTATGGGTTTGCCCGCCTCCATAATGCACACACCGTTGATGAAGAGGTCTATCTTGTCCTCGTCGACTTCCGCACGGCTGCGGCCCAGCGCGGCCAGCACCCGGCCCCAGTTGGGGTCGGTGCCAAAAACCGCAGACTTGACCAGGCTGGACGAGGCAATCGTCTTGGCGCCATTGCGGGCATCGGTAGTATTGGCAGCGCCGGCCACTTCAACCACGATCAGGTGGGAGGCCCCCTCGCCGTCCCGGGCCAACTCTCGGGTCAAATGAGTACAGACCTGGCGCAGGGCCTCGGTAAATGTATCCGCGTCCGGCGAGCCGGCGGTAACCGGAGCGTTTCCCGCCACGCCGTTAGCCATCACCAGCACCGTATCGTTGGTGCTGCTGTCGCCGTCAATGGTCAGCATATTGTAGGTGACGTCGGCTATTTCACTAAGAGTGGACTGCAGGAACCCGGGTTCTACCGCCGCATCCGTTGCAATGAAGGACAACATGGTGGCCATGTTGGGGTGAATCATTCCGGAACCCTTGGCGATGCCTCCCAAGTGAACCTGTCGCCCGTCCAGTTCAAAGGTAACCGCAGTTTCCTTGGGACGGGTGTCGGTGGTCATTATCGCCCTGGCCAAGTCCGAGCCACCCTGGCCGTCCAGGTCTATATGGCCAACGCCTTCGCGAATGAGAGACATAGGCAGTTCCACCCCGATTACGCCGGTGCTGCACACCAGGACTTCTTCGGGAGTAACACCGGTCTTGCTGGCGGCCAGGCCGGTCATTTCGATGGCGTCGATATAGCCCTGTTCGCCCACGCAGGTGTTGGCGATGCCCGCGTTGACGATGAGTCCTCGCATGGGGATGCCCTGGGCCAGTCGTTCCTTGTCCATGGTTACGCCGGGGGACTTGACGGTGCTGGTGGTGAAGACGCCCGCCGTGTTGCAGGGGGCTTCGGAGAAAAGGATTCCCAAGTCCAGCTTGTCCTCGGCGAAAGTTTTCAGCCCGGCATAGGTGGCCCCGGCAACGAAGCCCTTGGGAGTTGTTATGGTCCCGCCGTCGACGAACTCAATAGCACCGGCCATGAAAGGCGCCCCCTAAAAAGTCGTTTAAAAACGTCTGTTTCAACAGGCGAAAAGTATACCACAGAGACCTAAGGGGGGACAGATAGCCTGTTGAAGGTAAATCTCCACTTGACTGGACTTGGATTGGCCCAATCGACTTCTCATTCTGGACGATGCAGCAGAAGCGACCATTGAAGGTGTCCTGGGCCTTGACCATTTCCCTTCATTTTGGCAAATCCCCTCGTTGACAACGCATAATGCCCTCTATATATTCTCTGGCACTATGCGACTGGGCAGCGCCGAACTTCAGGTAGTCAGCGACGGAGTCTTCCGCATTGATGGCGGGGCCATATTCGGCGTGGTTCCCAAGGCCATCTGGAGCCGTGTGCGTCAGCCTGACCGGAAGAACCGAATTGAAATGGGCCTCAATTGCCTTCTGATCCGCAGCGGCGGCAAGACGGTGCTGGTGGATACGGGCGTCGGCACCAAGCACTCCCGCCACACAAAGGCGATTTATTCCATGCGGGCCGGCAAGCTTATTAACAGCCTGGCACTGCAAGGAGTCCAGCCCGCGGATATCGACCTGGTAATTCTCTCCCACCTCCACTTCGACCACGTTGGCGGCTGCACCCGCTACCGAAGGGGAGGCGAGGTGGCGGTTCCCGTATTCCCCAACGCTACTCACCTGGTCCAGCGTGCCGACTGGGAGGAAGCCACCGAGCCCAACGAACGCACGGGGCCGACCTACAATGCATCCGACTTCCTGCCCCTGGAGCAGGCCGGCCAACTGGAACTGCTGGACGGCGATACCGAACTCCTGCCCGGGCTGTGGGTGCGGCGCACCGGCGGCCACACGGCCGGACACCAGTTCACCTGCCTGGAATCAGGCGGAGAAAGAGTGGCCTGTTTTGGCGACGTCGTACCCACGCCCGACCACCTTCCCCTGAACTACGTTACGTCCTTCGACCTGTATCCCCAGGAATCGGTGGAGGCCAAGCAGCGATGGCTGGCCGAGGCTGAACGGGAAAACTGGCTGCTGGTCTTCGGCCACGGAACAAGTCCGGTAGCAGGGCGCCTGACCCGCAACGAACAGGGACGCCTGGCGCTGACGCCGGAAGATGTGGAGTAACCCTCTCCCGAGCTCCTCTCCCGGAATGAGGAGAGGTATTGATAGTAACTTGCTAACTCGTCTAATCTGTTCAGGCCCGCCCTCGACGCCTAATGAGTGAGGAACCCCAGAAGAATCCTCTCTCCATTGTAGATTTTAACCCTGGTGAGGGGACTAAAAGGTGAACCATTGACCAGCCAAGCCGCCCATTGTGTCTTCTGTGAAATTGTTGCCGGACGGGAACCGGCCCGCGTCAGGTACGTGGACGAGGACATCATCGTTATCGTCAACCGGCTGACCTGGGTGCCGGTTATGCTGCTGGCCATGCCCAAGAAGCACATGAGCCAGCTGGATATGTGGAGCAGCGGCATAATGGAACGGCTGGGCACCATCGCCGTGGACCTAGGCTGCATGTTCTGTCCCAACGGCTTCCGTATTTTGTCCAACTTCGGCTACGACGGCCTGCAAAGCCAGAGCCACGGCCACATCCACATCATTGGCGGCACGTACTTGGGGCATTATGCTTAGCTAAAGCCTGCACACTTTGCGCCAGGACCCAGTCTATATCCTCAACTTCCAGGCGCAGCCAGCAAAGGAGAAACACCGAAATGGCAGAGACCGTCCTCTACGAAAAGACCGACAACATCATTACCATCACCCTCAACCGCCCCGACTCGCTCAACTCAATAAACCGACAATTTGCGGGCGGACCTGGCTGAGGCTATTACCACCTTTGACGACGACCCTGACGCCCGGGTCGCCATCGTAACCGGCACGGGGCGCGCTTTTTGCGCCGGCCGGGACCTCAAAGAGCGGGCCAACGACAATTCAGACGGCCGCCAGGCCCGGGCCGCCGACAGCATGTACCCAGACCGGCCCTACATGTGGCCCCAGACCTGGAAGCCAATCATCGCCGCCATCAACGGTTTTGCCCTGGCCGGGGGCTGGTCCATCGCCCAGATGTGCGACCTGCGCATTGCGGCCGAGGATGCGAAGCTGGGAATCACAGAGACCAAGTGGAGCCTGCTACCACCCTTCGGAACCATATTGCCCAAGCAGATCGGCCTGGCCGCTACCCTGGAGCTGTGCCTTACCGCCCAGCCCATCACGGCCCAACGCGCATACGACATCGGCTTCGTCAACAAGGTGGTGCCCGGCGATCAGCTGATGGAAGAAGCGATGACCATGGCGGCACAGATCGCGGAGAATGCGCCCCTGGCAGTGCAGTACTTCAAGGAGTTGGCCTACCGGGGCCTGAACATGTCCACCCAGGACGTCTCGTCCCTGACTTACCACATGTACGACCGGCTGCTGACCACCGAGGACTCCAAAGAGGGGCCGCGGGCCTTCGCCGAAAAGCGCAAGCCCAACTGGCAGGGGCGGTAGGCGAGACAAATAGAAAGGACAGGATGGCGTCTGTTCCTTCTCCGCGCTATCCTGCTTATCTGCCTAACCATTGGTTGACGAGATGTGGCGGGCCGGACGAGTTCGGCCCACGCGACACTACTTCCTGGGTATCCGGGTTAATTCTGTATCCAAGGTTTTCCAGCAGTTGACAGCCAATCCGGGGAACAGACGCAGCTATGACCGTGGCGCTGAATCCTTGACCTCTTAACTGGCCAAAAGCCTGATAGGTTTTCTCTCCGTGATTCCCGTAACAGTGCGGACCATAACCCTGCCGTTAGGTATCGGAACCAATCCCAATTCTTCTATGTCCGCCTCTGGCAATCCAACAAGTGTCGATCCGCTGTCCATTAGGAAGGTGAACTCCCCGCCCTGCCTGCGGGCCAATGATGACGGTATTCACTTCGGTTCGACCCATTTGTCCCCTCAAAAATCTCCTTGCGGTTCGAGTATAGCATTGGCCGGTAGATGAAAAAAGCAGTATGCCGAGGTACTTTCAGAGGCCCTGATAAGTAGGATTTGACCGCGACATAAGCCGCGCTAAAACCAGACCTCAAGAGGGGGCGAACGCGCAGACAATCAATTCCGTAGACGTCGGATGCAAGGCCCCACCCCACAGGTCTCTTTGCCTGAATTGCTACAGACCTGAGTAACAGCAGTAGTTCATTCGCTGATCGTGCATCATATACATTCGCCCGCTGAACCGATACACTCCAGGAAGGCAGAATTGCCTGGAGGTTAAGACATGGATATGCCCCCTATGATGCCACTGCCGCCAAGCGATCCCAAGTTCTACACGTCAGAGTTCGAACATCGCAAAAGCAAGAAACATTTAGGCACCATAGTCTCCGATGGCATACTCTCCGATATGGCGGTTTCGTTGGGACTGTTGTTCACGCTGCTCTTCCGGTTGGTTACGCTGCCGATACGGCTTCCGGCTCACTTGTGGGTCAGGCACCGGGCAAAGAACGCCACTCGATAGAGGCTAAACCGAGAGCTCCTGCCAAGGCCAACCTTCCTGTGTGGTAGACTAGGCGGCAACGGATCAAGCCAAACTTCAAGCTAAGCACCCTCAAAATGGAGGACAGGGATATGACAACGCAGGTCCAACCTCAAAGCAAGACCGTATCCGCCAACGGGCATACCCTGCATTACCTGGACTGGGGCACCGTGGGCAAGCCAGTGATTCTGCTGGTACACGGACTGAGGGGCCACGCCCATTCCTGGGACGATGTTTCTTCGGCCCTTTGTGACGACTACCATGTCCTGGCCCTGGACCAGCGCGGTCGGGGAGACAGCGACTGGGCCAAGGACGGCGACTACACCACCAATGCCTACGTGGCCGATCTGGCCGGTTTCTGCGAAACCCTGGGCCTGGAGAAGTTCATCCTGGTAGGCCACTCCATGGGCGGTCGCAACAGCATGGCCTTTGGCGGCAAGTACCCGGAAAAGCTGGAGAAACTTATCATCGTAGACGTGGGACCCGCCCTGGACAGTCGCGGCAGCAACCGCATTTCCGAAGAGATCCGCAACGTACCCGAAGAATTTGATTCCTTCGAGGACGTCTTCAACTATCAGAATGCCCAGAACCGCTTTTCCTCGGAAGAGGTTATGCGGCGGCGCGTACAGTACTCCACCAAGGAACTGCCCGATCGCAAAATTGGCTGGAAGTACGACATCCTCATACGGGAACAGCGGCGCAACAACACCGTCCCACCCTCGGACGACTTGTGGCCCTCCCTGCCCAACATCACCTGCCCCAGCCTGATTGTCCGGGGCGTCCATACCGACATCCTGGCTGAGGACGTGGCGCAGCGCATGGTGGAAACCCTGCCCAATGTGGAGTTGGTGCAGGTTGAGCAGGCCGCCCACATGGTATTCGAGGACAATCCTGCGGACTTCATCGCAGCAGTGAAGCAGTTCCTGGGTTAAGTTCATGCAAGTAGCTTGACAAGTAGCTGGTATCTGACGTTACAATAGGAGAGGGTGTCTCACCCTCTCCTACTCTTTTCCTGATTCCGCCGAGGTTAGCCATGTTTTTCGTGCCAAAGGTAATGAGTACCCAGCACCCAGACAATGCCACTCCCTCCCCCTTCGCCGACGAGGCCGGGGTTATTCGTGGTGACGGTGAGGTGCAGGAGGCCGCTGATATATTTGCACTGGGCTGCAACGAGCAGATGTGGGACTCCGAGGGCAAAGAGGCCGACAACCAGGTTGTCCGCAAGTTGCTAACCGGCTACCCAGACTTCTTTACCAGCCAGCGCCGCCTGGGCCGCGACGTTATCCTCACCCTGCGCGTGCCCAACCCCTTCATCGAGCGGGATATGCGGAAGTCCATGGTGGAGGCCCTGCAGAGCATCCCCTCGGCCTGGGACATGGCCCACAACTTTTACGGCGACGGCGATGACGATACCGCCCCCATTCAGGAGGTCATTCTGCCCTTCACCACCTCCGCCGAGGAACTGGCCCTGGTGGAGGCCTACTACCGCCATGTGATAGTAGGGCAGGAGGCTCATACCCTGCTGGGAGACCGGCTGGTCAAGGACTGGGTGGGCGAGTTCTACCCCAAGCAGGTGCGGGTGATTCCCCTGATCGAGGACTTGGAGCATCTCTTCTACTGCGACAAGATCGTGGAGGAGTACCTGCACGGGCGAGACTTGCCGGCCCAGCGGGTCTTCCTGGCCCGCAGCGACCCGGCCCTCAACTACGGCATTGTGGGCGCCGAACTGATCCTCAAGGTTGGGTTATCCCGACTTTATGACCTGGAACAACGGCTGGGCATTCCCCTCTACCCCATCATCGGGGCCGGCTCGGTCCCCTTCCGTGGTCACCTGACGCCGGTGAACATCGACCGGGCATTGAAGGAATACCCCAGCGGGCACACCTTCACTGTCCAGTCGGCCTTCAAGTACGACTACGACAAGGACACCGTGCGCCAGGGCATTGCCCAACTGCGCGCTCACGAGCGGGGCGAACCGGTGCCTATAGACCAGGAACGGGCTCGAGCCATCATCGACAAGACCACTGCAGAATACCAGTCCCAGGTGCGCCGGCTCATCGGGGTTATTACCGCCGCATCCCGTCACGTGCCGAAGCGGCGGGAACGTAAGCTGCATGTTGGGCTCTTCGGCTACGGCCGTTCCCTGGACAGCGTGGGCGACGAGGTGACCCTGCCCCGGGCCATCGGTTTCGCCGCTTCCATGTACTCGATTGGGGTACCGCCGGAACTGCTGGGTTTGACGGCCCTGGACCAGGATGATCTGGCTTTCGTCCGCGAAGTTTATCCCAGCCTGGACGACGACCTGCGGGCGGCGCTGCGTTTCACCAACGAACGCCACGTCAAGGAACTGCTGGGCGACGACTACCTCGCCCTGGTGGGCAAATTTGCCGATGAAATAGACCGGGTCCACGAAGGTCTCACCAGCGCCATTCGCGCCGGAATGGACACCCATACCCACGTTGACATCTCCCATTATGTTGGCGAGGCCGGGCAGTTGCGGCGGTTTTTGGGGTAGAGAGTGGCCCGCTCCAGTAAGTTCCAGGTACAGGACCTGTATAGACAACCACAAGGATTGCCCTCCTGTTTAAGACCCTGACCCAATAGCATTGTCATTCTGGGGAGCGGAGCGACCAAGAATCCCAACCGGCCCATGCGAGGTTGTTCCTGCACCAAAACCCACTCAACAATTTACGGTTGGGAATCTTCACTCCGTTCAGAATGACAAGTAGAGGGGCTTCGGCACAGTCCGTGCTCCATTTAGTTGCCTCGACTCCCTCCAACCGATAAATCCAGATCGTCTACCTTCCCAATAGATAAAAAGACATTTGGCCTCCGCCGACTATGTGCTATCATTCCCGAAACTTAGAAACGCCCGAAATTTAGAAACGGGGGAGCGCCATGAAAATCTCCTTCTTCCACCTGATGCCCTACCAGGGACTGCCCGAGGACTTTGAGTCCAAGCACCACAGCGCGTGGGTGGACCTGCCCAACGAAAACTTTGACCCCAGCCTGGGCAGTCAGCACTATAACGACTACCTGGACGAGTTGCAGTACGCCGACCAGATGGGCTTCGACGGCGTGTGCGTCAACGAGCACCATAACAACGCCTACGGCATAATGCCCTCGCCCAACCTGGTGGCCTCGGTGCTGGCCCGCTCCACCTCGCGCGCGGCCCTGGTGGTGCTGGGCAACAGCCTGGCTCTCTACCAACCTCCCCTCCGGGTGGCCGAGGAAATGGCCATGCTGGACCTGATGAGCGGCGGGCGGCTGGTGGCCGGCTTCCCCGTGGGTACCTCTATGGACACCACTTTCTCCTACGGCCAGGTACCCATCACCCTGCGCGAGAAGCACACCGAAGCCCACGACCTGATTATGAAGGCCTTGGTCCGAACGAGAGCCTTTCATATTTAACGGCAAGTACAACAAGCTCCGCTACGTAAGCATCTGGCCCCGACCCATGCAACAGCCCCATCCTCCGGTGTGGATTCCTGGCAGCGGCAGCCTGGAGACCTGGGACTGGGTGCTGGACCGGGACTACGTCTACTGCTACCTGAGCTATTTTGGCTACCTGCGGGGCAAGCGCGTGGTAGACGGCTTCTGGAACCGCGTGGCGGAGCGGGGCATCGACGACAACCCCCACCGCCTGGGCTTTCTGCAACTGGTTTGCGTCTCCGAAACCGACGAGTCGGCCAAAGAGGAGTACGAGGAGCACGTAAAGTACTTCTACCAGAAGATGCTGCGGATTCACGCCCCCTTCGCCGAATCCCCGGGTACCGGTCCATCAAGTCGGTGCGAGAGTCCCTGCGGCCCCAGATTGGTGAAGAGGCGCAGAAAGCCGCCAGCGAACTGGGCTGGGTGGACTTTGTCGAACAGGGTCACATCATCGCCGGCAGTCCCGAAACGGTACGGGAAAAGCTGACCGAAGCCATTAACCTGTTGCGCGTCGGCCACCTGATGTGCCTGCTCCACATCGGTACCATGCCCAAAGACCTGACGTTGAAGAACACCGAGTTGTTCGCCCGCGAGGTAATGCCCGCCATCAAGGACATCTGGAGCGACTACCAAGACCCCTGGTGGCCCGAGGGAGTGGCCGCCGAACCCGTGCCAACTGCGGCGGATGATTAGGAGAACCGCCCTCACCCCAAAAGGAGTTATACAAATGTACGGTGTAGTCGCCACTATCAACATACAGCCCGAGTTCAGGGAACAGTTCATGGTGTCGATGCTGGAGGATGCCAACGGCTCGGTGAACAATGAGCCAGGTTGCCTGCGCTTTGACGTGCTGGTGGATGCCGAGAACCCCAACCGAATTTATCTGATGGAAGAGTACGTTGACGAGGAGGCCTTCCAGGCCCACACCCAGCAGCCTCATTTTATTAAGTGGCGCGAGACCTGCCAGGACTGGGTTCGACGGGCCGGCCCAGGTACACCGCGTTTCCGGTGTTTACCCGCCAGGCAAGTAGCGGCTGTATTGACTGGCACGGCTGGTATTCCCTATTCCGACACCAGTGTCCGACAACATTAAAGGAGCATCGATGATGGAAAAACTGCAACAGGGAGACCGATTCCCCTCGCTGACCCTGAACCTGGTCGGTGGCGGCCAGGTGCGTATTCCCGAGGACGTGCCCGGGCGGTACGCGGCTGTGCTGTTCTACCGGGGCCACTGGTGACCCTACTGCATGCGGCAGTTGGCCGCGTGGGAAGAAAAGAAGGCCGAACTGGAAGGCATGGAAGCCTCCATCTACGCCGTCAGCGTTGACAGCCTGGAGCAGGCCACCGAAGTAGCCGGAAAGGGATTGACTTTCCCCGTAGCCTACGGCGCAACCCAGGATGACGCCGAGAAGATAGGCGCTTGGTGGGCGGAAGACCATCACGGCGGCTACACCCAGCCCTCGGAGTTTCTGCTGGGACGCGGCGGCGTGGTGCTTGGAGCCATGTACGCCTCCGGGCCCGTGGGTCGCATGGGAGCGGATGAAGCGATACGCGCCATCACCAACCGCGAGCGCCGTCGACTGGAACAGGAAGCGCCACCAAGCAGCTAACCTGCACCACTCCCCACTGTATTCGAACACCCCTCTCCCTCGGGAGAGGGGCCGTGGGTGAGGGCTTGTGCCCACAATTCTCTACACTGCTGACAGTCGGGCAGGGAAATTCCCCCACCCCGAAGTTAAAATAGCCCCTGCGCAGAAAATCTGCGTCCAACAATTAACAATCAGGAGCTAACAATGACTACCGCATCTCCCATACCCCCGGGGTTTCGTTCGGTAACGCCCCACATGATCATCAAGAACGCCGGTGAGGCCATGGACTTTTACGTCAAGGCCTTCGGCGCCACTGAGATTTTCCCGGTTTGAAGTGCCCGGCATGGGCCTCCTGGCCCACGGCCTGCTAAAAATTGGCGATTCCTTCGTCATGGTGGCCGACGAGTTCCCACCGGACTTTGGCTGCCCCGATGCTCTCTCACCCACAACGGCCAAGGGCACCACCTTCGCCATACATATCTACACCGAAGACGTGGACGCCCTTTACCAGCTGGCCCTGGATGCCGGTTGCGAGAGCATATTTGAGCCCATGGACGCCTTCTGGGGCGACCGGTACGGTCAGGTCAGGGACCCCTACGGCCACCACTGGGCCATGGCCACCCACATCAAGGACATGACCGGAGAAGAAATGGCCCAGGCCGCAGCCGCGGAGTTCTCCGGCGCGCCAACGGACTAGGACCACCACCAGGCAACGCGTAAGGGGCGGGTTTGACACCCGCCCCTTTCTGATTCTTGAGGTCCTTCCGGGAAACCTGAACTTTACGCTTGCCTCTGATCTCGCACTCCATCCATAAGCGCCGCCTCTACCGCATCTTCCTCCAGCCCCACCAGGTCAAATAATACGGGTCTCCGGCAGCAATGCCTCAACGGGACACTCCCGCACCCGCACCGGAATGAGAATGCCGCGCTCGCCCGTGGGGTCCTGGGCGTAGGCTGCCTGCCACTCGGGGCGATCCAGGTTTTCGGCCAGAAATTCTGGGGAGAGGACCGCAATGGTGGCGTCGGCAATGGCGCTGACGGCAAACATTTCCAGGATCATACTGGACCGGGCCCAGTAGTCATACGATTGCAGTTCCACCGAAAAGGCGGCTTGCTGCAGCCGCGCTCCGATCCACTCGGCCCACTCCTGATCGGATGCATGGTAAGCGACGAAATAGTCCAAGTCAGTCTTACTCCGCCGACTCCACCCGCACCGCGCAGACCTTGTATTCCGGAATCATGGTGTCCGGGTCAAAGGCCGAGTTGGTCAGGAAGTTGGCCGCCGATTCCGACAGTTTCACGAAGGGAATGAATATCTCGCCGGCACGCATCCGGTCAGTGTACAGAGCTTTGCCGGTAAGCTCACCCCTACGGGAGGTCACACGAATTTCCTGACCGTCGGTGATGCCGAATTTCTCGCCGTCGGCGGGATTTATCGACACTTCCAGTTCGGGCGAGCGGGCCAGCAGGCCCGGCACCCGTCGCGTAATGGTGCCGCCGTGCCAGTGGTAGAGAATGCGGCCTGTGTTCAGAATCAGCGGATACCGGCGGTTGGGCCTTTCGTCGGACAACGGTCCCTGCTCGTACCCCAGGAACATGGCCCTTGGGCCGCGAGGGAACGAATCGGCATACAGGTAGGGAGTACCCGGATGATCCGGCGTGGGACAGGGCCACTGGATGCCACCCTCTTTGTCCAGGCGATCGTAGCTGATGCCAGACATTATGGGCGTCAGACGGGCCATCTCGTCGAAAATCTCCGACGGGTGGCGGTAGGTAAACTGGTCTTCCAGGGGCAGTCCCAGCTTGCGGCACATGCGGCGGCCCAGGTCGCAGATAATTTCCCAGTCCGGCCGGCTCTGTCCCCGCGGCTCAACCGCCTTGCGGATGCGCTGCACCCGACGCTCACTGTTGGTGAAGGTCCCGTCCTTCTCGGCGAAGCTGGTGGCCGGCAGCACCACATCGGCAATCTGCGCCGTTTCGTGCATGAAAATATCCTGCACCACCAGGAACTCCAGATTGTTGAACTTTTTCGGCGGCTTCGTTCAGGTCGGGCTCGCTAAGCAGCGGATTCTCGCCGGTGATGTACATGGCCTTAACGCCGAAGTCCTCACCGATGGACTGCACAATCTGGGTGATAACCAGGCCCCTGATTCCGGGCAAAGGCTGGCCTCCCCAAGCTTCCTCGAACTTGTCCATTGCCTCGGGCCGGTAGCCCTGGTATCCGGGCATGTTGTCGGGAATACAGCCGGCGTCGCCACAGCCCTGGACGTTGTTCTGCCCCCGCAGGGGTGACACCCCGCTCCCCGGAAATCCGAGTTGCCCCGTTACCAGCGCCAGGTTCAGCAGCCCGTGGGCGTTGGGAGTGCCGTTAGTGTGCTGGGTAATGCCCATACCCCAAATGAGGCAGGAACCGGCGTAGCCCCTCACCCCCGTCCCTTGTCCCTGAGGGAGAGGGGAGACCGAGGTCGGGGATGCAGCGGCAAAAGGAACCTTGTCGGGAATTGGCGGCCTGGCATACATCCGGGCTGCCCTCCGCAGGTCATTGGCGGACACTCCGGTTATCTCCTCCACCCGTTCCGGTCGATAGTTGTGGATGACCCGCTCCCATTCCTCAAATCCCTCGGTGCGGTTGGCAACGAACTTTTCGTCCACCAGGCCCTCATCCAGCACAACCTTGGCGATGCCGTTCAGCAGCGCCACGTCAGTGCCGGGATAGGGCCGCAACCAAAGGTCGGCGTAGTCGCACATATCGATGCGGCGAGGATTGACGACGATCAGCTTGGCACCGTGTTCCACCACGGCCCGCCGCATGCGCGACGCGGCCACCGGGTGGTTGGAAGTGGGGTCACAGCCAATGACAAACAGACAGCCGGCATTCTCGTAGTCGGTGTAGGAGTTGCTGGTGGCCCCACTTCCCAGGCTGGCCAGCATGGCCTCCACCGACGGCGAGTGGCAAAGGCGGGTGCAGTGGTCGATGTTGTTGGTCTGCATTATCAGGCGGGCAAACTTCTGCTGGATGTACCCGTCCTCGTTGCTGGCCTTGGCCGAACAGAGGGTGCCGAAGTTGTCGTCGCGGTAGTTGACCAGCTTGTCGGCAATCAAATCCAGGGCTTCGTCCCAACTTGCCTCGCGAAACTCCCCATTTTCCTTAATCAGCGGCGTGGTCAGGCGGTCGGGATGGTGGACGAAGGAGGTGCCGAACCGTCCCTTGACGCACAGCATCCCCTCGCTGGAACGGTTGTCAGGGTCATCCTCCACTGCCACGATTTCGTCGTCATCGCTGACCTGTACCCTAATCCCACAGCCGACGCCGCAGTAGGGGCAGGTAGTGGAGACGCTTTTCTTGAGATTCACCCCCGATTCTTCTCCCCTCTCCTCGCGGGAGAGGGCCAGGGAGTGAGGGTCAACGGCCACGGACTGAGAGATGGTAGTCTTGGCCTGGATGGCCCCCGTGGGACAGACAGACAGACATTGCCCGCAGGTAGTGCAGATGGACTCCAACAGGGGTTTATCCATGAAGGCGCCAATGCGTCCTGTATTGCCCGCACCCAGAAAGTCTATGGCGCCGATAAACTGGTGCTCTTCCTGGCAGGCATTTACACAGCGGGCACAGAGGATGCACGCCTCCATCCCGATGCTGAATACCGGGTTGCTGGTATCCGTTTCCTGCCTTTCACGAGATTGCCACCTTGAGCCGCTTATGCCGTAGTGCTGGGCGGCGCGGGTCAATTGCCCGTACTCGCCTTCGCCCCGAATGGCTGACGCCACCGCAGACTGGGCCGGAGCGTCGGAGGACAACATTGCCAGTGTAAGTTCCAAGACACCGGACCGTATGCGCTCAACGTCTGCAGTGTCGGTGCGGACCACCATTCCGTCACGGGCCGGCACTGAGCACGATGCAGGAAAACCGCGCGTGCCCTCTATCTGCACCAGGCAGGTGCGGCAGGCCCCGATGGCCTTCATATCGGGGTCTTTACACAGCTGGGAGAGGTAGGTCTGCGAGGCATTAACGGCGTCCAGCACCGTGGCGCCGTCGAGCACTTCGACCGTCTTGTCATTGATGGTAAGGGAGAGGGTCATGACTGCAGCACCCCGAATGGCGGGTAATCGCGGTAAATCCTGGGTCAACCTGCTGTAGCAATCCGTAAACCCATTGTAGCACCTAACGATTTCCATGGAACAAGTCGGCAAGCGAGGTACTACAGGACGCCACATTACGGTTAAGAAAGGCCTGAAATCGCCTTTTCTCAACAGGGATAGTGCAGATCGGCACGGGAAACTCAGGCGGCAGCTCTGCCCCTTTGATGGAAATTGCTGGAAGACAAGACATTACCCGCCAACTTGACGACACCCCTCAGGCTATAGAGAATAGGGCACATCAACCAACCTCGATACAACGACAAGGAGCTACCATGCCTAATTTTGTACGATGCTATACCGGCGACGACGGCAAGTCTCACCTAGAAGACCTGAACCCGCCCTTCGAGTCCTTCGTAGACACCGAAGGAGCCTACGGTGAGGGAACGCCGATGCTGGGAGCCAACGGCGTTAACATTCGCATCGCCCAGCCCGGGTACCTGCTGGAGTGGCATTGCGCGCCCCGCCGCCAGTACACCATCACCCTTTCCGGAGTAGCCGAGGTAGAGGTCAGCGATGGCACCAAGCGGCAGGTGGGCGCCGGAGACGTGCTGCTGGCCGAGGACCTGACCGGCGCGGGGCACATAACCCGGGTAATCAGCGACGAGCCCCGATATTACATGGTAGTGGCCCTGGCCGACTAGTACTGGACGACTAGTAATCGTCTCCGAAGGGACGGACCGAAGGGCTAGTCACATAAGAACGGCCCGTTCCATCATGGAGAGGTTTATGCGCGGCCGGCGACCATTTCCCGCAGCAGGGGAATGAGTTCCCGGCCGTATTCTCGGGCATCGTTCAGTGGGGTCAAAGCCACGGATGATAAAAGTTGTGCAACCCAGGTCATAATAGGCCAACATCGACTCGGCCACCTGTCGGGGCGTACCCACCAGGCAGGTAGTGCTTCCCGCCGCCCCGCTGGCCGCAGCCACTGGCATCCACAACCGTTCGTCATGCAGGTCTCCCTGGGCGGCGAACTCAAGCAATCGCCGCGAACCCACCGATTGCAACCGGGCTGGCTGACCCGGCACTATGGTTCCCCGAGTGGCTTCCTGTACTCTCGACAGAATCTCCTCGGCCCGCTGCCACGCCCTGGCCTCCGTCTCCCCCAAAATGGGCCGCACCGAAAGGCTGAATTGGATATGGCGATCCCATTCTCCGGCGCGGCTTCGAATATCCGCCACGCGTTCCCCTATCGCGGCGCGGGGCTCTCCCCAAAGGGCGAAGACATCGGCACGGCGGCTGCCCACATCCAGGGCAATGTCTGACGCCCCACCGAAGAACAGGGGCAGGTGGGGACTCTGGTAGCAATTAACCTGGCTGATGGCGCCCTTCAGCCAGTAGAATTCACCTACGTAGTCAAAGGGTTCGGCGGCGGTCCAGGTGCGGCGGAGAATGTCCATGTATTCGTCGGTTCGTCGGTACCTGCCGTCGTGGTCCAGGAAGTCGCCGTCCCGCTCCTGCTCAACGTCGCTGCCTCCTGAAATGACATGCAGGGCAATGCGGCCACCAGTCAGCTGGTCCAGGGTCGCCGCCTTGCGCGCCGCCAGGGTGGGTGCCACAAATCCGGGACGGTGCGCGATCAGGTAGCCCAACTTCTTTGTGTGGGCAGCGGCGTAACCGGCCACCTCGAAGCCATCCGGCGTGCTGGAGGAGTAGCCGGTCAACACCATGTCGAAGCCGGCGTCCTCGTGGACCCGGGCAAACTCCAGGATGTATTCGCCGTCCACTCCGGTAGGCACCTCAGCTCCGGGGTTTATGCCCCCGCCGAAAACGCTGAGGGTGGCCCCCGAAGTGGCTGCCGCCTCCCGGGTAACGCCAATCATTCCAACTATGCGGACGGTCTTTTCTGAATCAGCCATAACTTGCCAGCAGATGCCTTCGTATCGAAATGTTGACGGGCAGTATACACGAAGCTCAAAGGCACCCTGAACCACGTCCCTGACCACGGTACCGTCAGGGTAAGCTGCTTCTCAGTTCAGCCATCGCCACCCTGTCGCGCCAACTGATCGCCAAAAAAGTGCAACAAACTTTGCACCGGTCCGCCCGCCATTTGCCCCAGGCCACACAGGGACGCCGCCCCTACAATCTCTGCCAGATAGCGCAACTCTTCCACATCGCTGTCAGAAATGGCGCCGGATTTGTTGCCAGAGTCGTTGCCTGACGCCAGACGGTCCAATGCCTCCACGATGCGGGGTGTCCCTTCGCGACAAGGAGTACACTTGCCACAGGACTCGGCGGCGTTGTAGGCAGCCAATCGTCGGACTACCTCGATGGCCGGCACCGACGTGTCCATCACCATTATTCCACCGGCGCCCATTACTACGCCCGATGAGTGAAGCATTCCTGGCCTCAGTTCCAGATCCAATTCAGAAGGTGGAAGCACGCCGCTGGAGGGGCCACCCACGGCTACCACGCCAATCTCCCTGCCTTCCGGAGGGCCACCGCCAATGCCGTGAATCACCTGGCGCAGCGTGGTGCCCATGGGGACTTCGGCCAGCCCGGGCCGGCGCACGGCCCCGCTCAGGCAAATCAACTTTGTGCCAGGGGCCGACTCCAGTCCCACTTGCCCGTAACGCGCTGGCCCGCGCTGCAGGATGTAGGGAAGGTTGGCCAGGGTCTCCACGTTGTTGATCACCGTAGGCTGCCTGAAAAGACCCGACTCCACCGGAAAGGGAGGTCTCAGCCTGGGTTCCCTGCGGCGGCCCTCAATAGTGTTCAGCAGTGTCGTCTCTTCACCACATACGTAGCCGCCCGCGCCCCGGCGCACCTCCACCACGCAGTTAAATCCGGAACCCAGGATGTCCTCGCCCACCAGTCCATTGCTTCGCGCCTGCTCCAGAGCCGCTTCCACCCGCTCCGCCGACAGGTGAGCTTCGGCGTTGATGTAGATGTAACAGCGGGAAGCTCCCGTGGCGTAGGCCGCTATCAGCGCCCCTTCCAGCAGGCGGTGAGGCAAACCCTCCATGATGTGCCGGTCCTTGAAGAGGCCCGGCTCCCCCTCTTCGGCATTGACCACCAGGAAGCGGGGTTCGGGAAAGGCCCGCGCCCCTTGCCACTTACGGGCCGGCGGAAAGTAGGCACCGCCCCGTCCCTGCAAGCCCGATTCCAATACCTGGTCTATTACCTCTTCAGGGGTGCGAGACAGGTCACAAACGGCAATAGCGTGCCTGGCGCTCAACGACCATGACAGGATCCGCCACGGCCACGTAGTCGTAAACGTCGGCGGGGGGGTCGTGAGTCGCCGTCGCCCACCAGAAACGACACATTACACACGACGCTACGCGGCCCCTGTGACGCGTGGTATAAAAACTGGGATATGTGGCGTGCGTTTCATAAACCTATACCTGACAGGCGGGTTGTGGTGCTGTCGCTTTCGCGGTCGCTCAAGCCTACCCTCTCCGTCTCCCCGCCGGGGCGTGGACGGGGCGCGAAATGGTGCTGGGCGTACTGTGTTCGATGCTTGGGCTTCTCTCGGGTTGTGGGGTGCGGGGCGTGATATGCCCCTCGGACCCGCTGTAATGGTCGGGAGCGTGCCGCTCCAGCTCGTTGACCACGACCTGGGGAGCCGCAAAACAGGCTCCGTCACAGCCGGTGACAGCAAGATACGCATCGTTGCGGTTTACACCACATACCTCTCGCATCGAGCCGTTCAGGTCACTGGCATCCGCTGTGACCACGTCACCGTCGACCCGTACACGAGCGTGGACTCAGGCAATCAGCGCTGGGGTCGACACTCAGCTCCGACCGCCTAGCGGGTCTGTGCCGTCACGCAGCCATCTTCACTGCCCAAGCCGTTGCGGGCCATACCTGGAACTGCACATCGAGCAGGTGTACTCGGCCCGCCGTCCCTTGCTGTTCCCCAGCAGGAGCGCCGTCACGGCGGATATGTCGTGCGCTGCATCACTCGATCGGGCTCTGTCGCCAGGCTCACGCCGTACGTCCATTCCGGTCGGCCTGTGCAGTGGTCTGCGCGACACGCTGGCTTCACGTTGCCAGCCTGACCCTGTGGAGGGTCTCTAATTTTATACATGGGAGGCATATACTCGGCCTCGGGTCCCTCTCAGCCCGGTCCCATAGCGCCCGTCCACTGTGCGGACAGGGGCGGGCCAGCGGACAACGATAGGCGCAGGGTGTCTCTGGTCTTTCCAGAGGGGTTACGCGGGGACCGGTCGGTTGCGTACGTGGTGCTCGATCCAACCGCGGTACCCACAAGGCGAGCGTGATCGGATCGCTCTCGCACACAGCAGACTCTCCGATTGCAGGTGGCCGCAGTCGCGGCCCCTTGGCCGCGCGGGTGCTGACCGCGTGCCGGCACCGTGCAGGCGGCGGCACATCCACGTACGCGTACACGAGCATAGCGGTCGTTTGCAAGGCACGCTTGCCCTACCCCCACCGAGGTTCGGGCGCACCAACGTTGACCGGCCCAGTTCCGATCCCGAATTCGTGTCAGGGAGCGGGTCGGTGGTGGAGCTGGTGTTAGCCGGGGCCGGGCGTGTAGCCGGGCTGTGGCCGGTTCCGCAGTGCAGGATACTACCTGCAGGGCCCACTCCGGCAGGTGACCCAGTTCCTCATGCACAAAATGGAGGGCCGGCAACAGGTAAGTCCGCTGTGGGGGAAACTTTTGGCGGAGAATTGGTCGCAGTTCGTTTTGGTCCATAACTCCTGGTGTCCAGCCCAGACGCCAATTGGCATTCGCCCCTGCGAACGCGTGAACATCGCAGGTCACGGCGCTGGCTCCAACATGAGCCGGCAACTATAACATTTCAACCACGGACTAACTTGTAACCTTCAAGCTGTCTTCAGATTGCTGAAGAGAGGGCCGTTCCTCGGCCAACTCCGCCAGCCCCAACTCCGCCAGCTTTTCTTCCGGTATCAACCCGTCGACGGCCCAGCCCCTCGCCTCATAGTAGCCACCAATCATGTAGTCCAGTTCATCTTTGCTCAGGGCTACTCCGGCGGCCACGCCATCAGGCAAAGGCTCTTCCAGGGTTCGTGGCGGCAGGGTGTCGTCTGAGCGGGCCCAC